AGAGAGACACACACAAGGATACAAAGTAGCGGAATGTTGTGCAGTGGTTGCTCCACTTTGCAATCAGATTATGCGGGATGCCCGCTTGCCACGCTTGACTGGAGAACAATGCTAAAAAGTGCAATAGTACCAAGTCTGATTCGGGCTTGGAGATAGTGGAGCACATACGTAAACATACGCAGGCGTACGTACGCTGACACAGACATGCGGAAACGATTAGGTGACATACGTACTCGTAGACTCGTAGATGTATAGACATATGCAGACATACCGTATCATAACGTCGTCATACGCGGAAATATGTACACGTGTACGTACATGTACACAGACGTACACAGACATGCGCATACGCATACTTATGCATACTTAAACATACGTACAAGTACGTAAACATACGCAGACATACCATACGCACACTTACGCAGACAAACAGCGCTTACACAGACATGCGTACACGTACGCATAGGCACACGTACCCATACGCAGACAAGCGTACAGATACACAGCGACACGTTGAACTGACACTGCCATACACCCGACACTTATACCCAAACCTGCATTGGTGGCACCGCTGAAACAAGTCAATCTGCACCGTCACCCCTGACAACCTCCCCATGATTTGAGAGAAAGCTCTTCCGCTTCTACCGATCGAACTTCCAAACTGCAAGTTGCACCACTTTTTTCTGCGCCAAGTCTGTGTCGAAGAAGGCATGTCGAAAGGAATAGCACCAAGCTCGCACAACGCAAAATGCAAGCACTTAATCATTGACCTGATGCTCGTGCTTTCTGCACGAAACAGACTCTTCTTCTTCTTCTACCCAGCGAAGAGGCCCCCCAAGGAGGACCCCGGCCGCGCTGGCCCGCTGCTCTGTCCCAAGGTGAAAGACGGGTTACCATGCGTTGATGGCCCCTACTGGTTGGGCAACACCGGCGAACAACAACTACAAGGGCCCCCCTCACTCACCAGGATCCCCTTGGTTCCAGTTCCCGCTGTCACCTGGTACTTTACGCCGTTGTCGCGGTCTTGGTGTAGCGCTCGCTTGCGTGCTTGGACCCAACCTTCTGGACGTGTCGTAGTTGGCCCCCGTCGGGTCGCGTCGGCTCGGGCTGGGAATTGTCGTTGGTGTAGTCCGTGGCATGAGCGTGGAGCACGTCTTCGAAGACAAGGTCCGGACAAAAATGGCTGGTGGGTCTTCCGGCATGCAAGATCAAGCGGTGTCGAGTTCTTGGCGAAAACGAATTCCGACCCATCTGCCTCCAGCAAAATTGCCCCCCGCTGTCGGGAAGGAGTAAAAAGTTCCGAGTCGCAGCAGCCTTGCGGTCCCTTTTGACGATCGCCGCTGCGAAGTTCCCATCTGCAGGCACCCGTCATGTTCTTGATGAAGTCACGGCGGCCAGTTGTGCGCAACGTGTATCGCCCCCGGCCCCCACGAGCTCGTCGTCCTTGGCGTGCACATTCTCCCCCTCCAGTGTCCATCTCATGCGCGGTCTTGTCCATGTCACATTCACGCCCAGGTGCTGCTCTCTCTCCCAGCGGCCTTGGTGTCCTTGATCTGCTCTGCCATGTTCGTGGGCACCCCCGCGGTGAAGATCTGGTCCTCTCTGCCCCCTCAGGCGTTGACACCGTCGAACTTGCACTGCCCATCTCAGCGTCCCTGCCAATTGCGCGGACTCTACCTTCTCGGTGCATGGCGGCACGGCTCTATGAGGCAGACCCTTTTGAGCACTTCCGGCTGCTCACTGGCTCAAGCCCAGAGGGAGGGGGTGGGTTCCTTGAGCCAAAATGGCTACGAAACAGACTCTCTCTCTCTCTCTCTCTCTCTCTTTCCTTTCCGGCGCTAATTCCACTGCTGACAGTCTAACCAAGAGGGTTCTTGGGGGGTGGTCATTGCTGCGCACACCTGGGATGCTGGAAGTGTATGTGCCCATGCCAGCCATCCACCAGAGCCTCCTCTTGCTGCAAGGTGTGGCGGTGATTCTCATGACCATGGCAGCGGCCGGAGCTGTTGCCATGTCTGTGGAACTGGGAAGGGTAGAACAGCATCCATGCCAGGTATGTTATGGCCCCTAAGAGCACGAACATGGTGGAAGCATCCACCAAAATGTAGAACTGATCTGAGCGCAAAACGATGCCAGAGCCATACATCACCAGTGTCCCGAAGGAGGTTAAGGCTGTGTCCACCGAACCAATGGCAGAACGTTGACGAGCATCTGCCAGATCCTGTTCTGGATTGAGCACGCCAAGTTCAAAGCCATAGAGCCCCGTTCGTCCCAAGCAAACACATGACACAAAGACCAACATGGCTGGTGTCATCCCATCAGCCTGGTGGAATGCTGTGAGTGCCAGCACTGTGCATAGTGCCAGTGCTACCACAAAAACCGCATCTGCTGTGCGATGGCCCAGTAAGGCACAGCTTGGCGGGTGCAAAGCGAGTCCTAAAACACCCAGCAAGGCGCCCGCAGCCCTCAACAGAGACAGCTGATAGCTTGGCATGTGCTGTTCAACTAGATATGCTGTGAGCAAAGCACCATGGGGCGACAGTACGGTCAAATACAACAGAGCATAGGACAGGCTCAAGAGCTGATAGCCACTTGGATGCTTGCACCATGCTATCCAAGCGCTACCCTGCGGCTTCAAGCCATTCACATGCCAGTGAACCTCTGCAGACTCTGCAGGTCTAGGTGGTTGTAACTGCTGCAAACGTGCAGCGTAGATTCGCCTCAAGAGCAGCAAGTGGGGTATAAAGGACAGGACATTCAGGAAGCCAACAGCAAGGAAACCAACCACCTCGCTGGGCAGTAGCCACGGTGTGATCATCAAGCCTGCAATGGAAGGCCCAATGGTCTGGCTGGCAAGGTCAATTTGAGACATCCTCGAGTTGGTACGCTTCAATCCATCTCCCTCAAAAAGCCGTGGTGCCCAGGCCCGCTTCACTACCACGTCACTCAGCACGGTGCCCAAATTTTCAAGAATGCTGAAGGCTGTGAACATCGACAAGGCCACCAACTTGGGTTCAGTCCACAAGACGGCCGTGCACCCTAAGACAGCCACAGCCTGGCTAGAAACGCCAAGTGTCACCACGCGGCCTTGATCGGTTTGATCCGCCCAAGCTCCAAACCGGGACTCAGCAGAGTTGTGGCCAACATCGTTGTGAGGCCCCAAACCGCCGGGCCCAGAAGCTGTCCGGGTGTAAACCGTACCAGCACCAAAGCGGAAAGGAAGAGCCAGCCCTTTGCCGCAAGTCTTGTGATACCATGACTGATCAACAGATTCCAATAGCCCGCATGGTCTGACATCTCATTGAGGAGCGGCTCCCTCATCGCCGGGCCCATATGGCTTGCCGTCGCAAATTCGTGGTGCCCGTCCGTGTCTCTAAATCTGAAGCCCCAAAACGCTATTTGCTACCATGCTCCACGGTTGCAGCGAACCGACATGTGTCATGGTGAATGGTTTCTTTTTTTCTGTCTGTGGATACAAGACACTACCTGTTTGCTGTTCATGCAAGTTGCTGATTCAAAAGGTTCGAGAAACCATCAGCAGACGTGCACACTCAGCGCAAACCGAAGTATGGTCTTCCAAACACCGCCAACTGTGGCCCACGACCTCACTGCCACTGCCAAAAACAAACCTTTTGGACGTCCTCCCACTGCTTTGGTCAAAGTGGCTCCACGTCGGCGGAGCTGGGCTCTGCGGAGGAGGAGGTGGCGGACCGTGTGGGTGACGGCGGCTCCTGGGAGAACATCGCCGCCAAGATACGCCGGCACATAAAAGGAGCCCATCATGGAAATGTTCAAAGAAGCACTTGGGGTGCATATTGGGGGGGGGAGGGGGGTGCTAGTAGGGTCCCCCAAGCCCAGGCCTGCACCGAAGCCTCGACATCCGTCTCAACCGGGCCTCAGCCGCGTGCGACAAGAGCGTCGTCTTGTTGCCCGATGTGGGTGTTTCCGAAATTAGGGGTACCTTCTTGGGGTCCGTATTATAAGGGGATCCTACTATTTGGGGTCTATGTTAGGGGTCCCGTATCTTTGGAAACCCCCATGTCTCATTTTGACGTCGAAAGCGAGGACCCTTCTCGCAAACGGAACCGACCCGCGACCCTCTCTTCGCAAAAGCCCTCCTTAGGCAGCAGGGGGGCGGGGCAACCGGCCAGGGCCAGGTAGCATGGCGCAGCACGCGTGCGCACGCGAGTTCACAAGTGTAAGCCAAGCACAACACTGGGGGTTAGGCCTTGTGGACCTACGTTGTTTCCTCATGCTTTGCATGCTGGCCAGCCGAAAAACGATGCTGTGGAAGGTCGCACGAGGAGATGCTTGAGAGCTGTGTGGATCTTCATGCGAGCCCCGTTTTCAGAGATTGGGCCGAGACAGCTGCTATGCTAGCGCAAGCTTTTGGCCTTTCTGCGGCTTCTCCGCAATCAACGTTGCCAGGAAGGGCAATCTCTCGCGTGAACAACTTAGCAAGTCCTACTGCACACATGATTCAAGAAATGGACCGAAACACCGTACTGTACTGCTGAATGAGACTAAGGCTCAACAAACACCTCCACCAAACGGACCGCCAAACCGAAACTGAAGCTGCCCGAACAAAGACAAGCCGAGACAAGAGACAGTCAACACAACGGCCTACCTTACTTACGAGAGTGGCAGCTGAGAGCAGTGAGAAGCTGCACCTTTTGATGAGAAGAGCCGCATTCTCGGAACAGGCAACCATGCAGTTGAAATCGAAAACATGATCACCGTGAAGCTCATGAACCTGACAAAGCACATCGATCTTTTTGCAGGTGGCATTTACGTTCCCGCCAGCATCTTCTTCCTTGGCCGGGATAACCGGGCTTACAAAGAAAAGGACAAGAGACTGAGAGAGTACCTGAACCGCCCTGTACGTGCAACCACCGCCGATGGCCAACACTTCGTGATAGTTCTCCAGCTTCAGTCCCCTGCTTCTTTACAACCCCGCGCCTCAGTACCTCAAGGACCCTTATTGGGACCACGCCTTACCTTCAGCCGCTGGCAAGACACCGCTGCTCGGTCCAGAGCTGTTGCAGGCTCGCCATTTGTTCCTCGTTCTGGGGCCCCCCTTTCAAGAGGGGGGGGGGCCCATGGGGGGGCAGCGGCACACCACTCCATGCAAGTCTATACGGCTGAGCTTCACTTCACTTCGCTTCTCTCTCTCCTTAACTCTCCGTTCGCATCGGGTGCTCCGGTGTCGCATCATGTCGCAAACCCTGTGGCCCGTCCTTGGCCAGTCGAGGCGTCGCGGACCGTGCCGACAGCGGGGGAGAAGGCGCGGAGGGTCCTAAGAAGGCATCGCCCCCACATTTTGTCAGAAAGTTCCATGAAAGAAATAACCGCCCTCCAATTCCCACCCCCCCAAATTACCCCTGTTGCACTCCTATTAAACCCCTAGACCCTTCGCATCCCTAAACCCTAAACACCCGGACCTTGCAGTTGGCCGCTTTGGCCACTGTGGCCACTGTGGCCGCTTTGGCCGCTTTGGCCCTCTGTTCCATGCCTGGGTGCTCCGGGCTCTTCGTACGTCAGTGCCCCCGCGGCTTTTGCAACGGCTTCAAGGTGCATAAGGAACGCCAATGTCTGCAGCTCAGTCCGACATTGAGCAAGTTTCAACCCACAAAGTCCAGGTCGATGGCTCACATTTCACACTCGTCATCCCCCACGGCTCAGGCGCCGACGATGTCAAGGACACACGTGTCAACAAGTTGCTCCACCTGGCCGCGTCTTATCCCGACTCCACCGCTCAAGAGACCCATGCGCTTGAGCCCCTTGCGTGGCCAGAACAGCAACTTGTGTCACCAACCCTAAACCCTAAATCCTAAACCCAAGGTCTCCCACAGCAAACTGGCCTTGAGTCGAGGTCCCATGATGGCCGTGACGGTGACGACTTTTCCCGCGGAAAGCCTGCAGTGCATCAAAGCTGCCCGATGTCCCTTCAGACAGCTTAGCATGCTGCGGATGGGACTTTTCCCAAGTCAATTAGACTCCCTAGAATCTTCCTCGCAGCTCTGACTTCTTCACAGTGCAGTTCAGAAGCCCCCTGTCAACGCCACGGACGGCACGTGTACCTGGACATGGAGGTTCTTAGAGGTCAAGTGCATGGCACAGCTGAACAGGGGCTTAAGGGAGCTAAGAGAGTGAATGGCTTGTCTGAAGATGAGCTCTTCGTTGTTTTCAACTGCCAAGCCGGCTCTGAGATGAGTCCAACCCCAATGGTCAACCTTAGCCTGGCATTTTCTAGCTTCCTGAACCAAATGGACCTTAGAATCTCAGGGGCTCACATGTCGTAACAAGACAGATATCTGGGGGTTTCCGAAATTGGGACCTTGTTGGGGTCCTTATTAAGAAGGGATCCCACATTTTGGGGGTCTGTATTGTGGGGTTCCCTTGTTGTCGTAAACCCCCATCGGTGATCTGTGCAAACGATCCCATTGGGGGAAAAAAGGCGCCTCCGGTGTCTGCCCAGTCTTGTGGAGCTGCGCCTGACACACTCACTCGCGCCAAGAGCCCTCATTTGGTCCCCTTGGCCCTCGTTGGGTGATCAGGATGCTGTTTGTGTCATCAGGTGCTGCACTGTCCGGTCTTCGACTCTTGCAGCATCGATGTAGGTCTGGGCTCGTTTTTCGGGATCTTGTAAATTCATTCTGGTCTCTTCTTGCTCTTTTTTCGCCCACATCTGAGCCCATTTGGGAGGCGCACCGGCTGCACCGGCGGCGCCGCCGTCGCAGCCGTCGCAGCCGTCGCCGCCTGGCGCCTGAGGTCTAAACGGAGGCTTTAAAAAAACTAGGTGAGCCAGCGGGGATTGGGGCGCAGCGCTCATGTGAACCAGAAGCAAGCATAGGCATGCTTTAGCAGGGAGGGTATCCAACCGAATCCAGCATGTCTGGCGCATGACAGTGAAGCTGGTCAATGCATGTTTCCTTTACTGTGCGATGCCATGCCGGGACAAGCTGCTGCGGGGTCTGAGGCCAGACACCTGTGACTATCTGGAGATTTCCGAGAATAGGGGTACCTTGTTGGGATCCTTTGGGGGTCTATATTGGGGGTCTATATTGGGGGTCCCTTATTTTCGTAAACTCCCATATCAGGCCTACGCTCAGATGCTCCGAGGGGCCATCGATTTTCCTCCTCTTCCAGCCTGGCAGAGTCTGATGGAAAGGGAGAGCGGCTTTCCACACACTGGGGCCGATCAAAACTGAACTATGCAACTTTAACCGACACCCAGGAACATCTGCTTTTTCAGAGTGTCTAGTTGAAATGTTGAAGTCTTGCAAACCCAAACGAGTGACTTGCAACTGCAGGCGAAGTTCTTTGATTGTTGTTGAGGCAGGGACGAAGTGAAAGCGTCCCTCACAGCCGTTGAGATCTGCAGGCCTCTCCTTCAGCCGCCGTGGTCGTGGCGGCGAGGTTGGCGCAGTTGGCGAGGTTGGCGAGGTCGGTGGGGATGCCGGTAACTGCATGCTTGCGCAAGAAGCGAAAGGGCTCCCCAGACCCTCCAAGACTCTCCTGGTTTTCTTCGCTTCTTGCTTGGAGCCGAAGATGGAAAACTGGACACCGGGTGCTTTGCTAGCAGGGCTCGTCCCCTTCTTCTTCTTCTCCAACTCCTGTGTATCCATAAAACATATCAGTTATATTCTATGACCATATTATATATGTATATGCTATATTGTCTCCCCTCTTTCTTTCTCTTGCGATCTCACTCCGAGTCGCCCCGGCATCGGCCCGATGGCTTGCTGGCGGAAGAGTCTCGCCCTGCCCAAGTGGCACAGGCAAAGCACAAGAAGGCTTTTGATGCAGCCGGGTTCCCTAACTTCTGCGCCCATGTTCGTGCCCTTGTTCTGTCATGGGCCCTTGTGTTTCGGGTTCCCCAAAACGGACCATGATGTACGCAAACTAGACGCATGGCTTCTTTATGTGTTTTCCTTTCTCTTCTTCGTTCCGCTGATCCCAGGATAGATCTGAAAAGAGGGTCGCTCGAGGTCTTGTCCTTTTCAAGCGGCTCTGCAGTGGAAGCGCTAAGCTCTGCACGCACAGGTGCGCGTTGTCTGCACACCAAGCGGCGAAAGAGCGAGAGAAGGCCGAGAGCACAGGCAATGCTTAAGGATTTGAGGCCCTCTGCAAGCAAAAAACCCACGTGGCAGCACCCTGTCTTCGCATCGTCTCGCAGAGAGGAGCAAAAAAAGGGACCCGGCATACAGCAAAGTGGGCCTCCACGCCGCCTTGCCACTGACCTGGGCGCATCGACGTCGCCCTGAAATCCCCCGAGTGCACCCCCCGTAATTACCCTTAAATCCCCAAAAAAACACTCCCCCTTAAATATCCCCCGTGGTATAAAATACTCTCCAGAGTAGCTGTCATATAGCAGCCAACTCTAGGCACGGGAGGAGGTGCAGCAGCGCTGCTCACTTAAGCTTCGCGGCCCTGGCATGAAGCCCCCTAAAGGCCGCCTCGACTCCTCCCCAAGGCCCCAGATTCCTCACAGCCCAAAACACAGCCTGTGCGCTCCCAAAAAACCTGCGTCGCCGCCGTTGCCTGCTTCTGTCGGCGAAGAAATCCCCGCCCCATTCTTAGCCTGTCCTTCGAAGCCACATCCCTAAACCCTAAACCCTGAACCCCAAACCCTAAACCCCAAACCCATCATCCTACAACAGGCTTTTGGAGATCCAACTCCGGGGCCGCCGGCGTCGCAGGAGCGCTGCGGCCCCTGGATGTGGCCTCGCAGCAGAAGAGCCAGAGAAGGAAGAAAACTGGTGCAGGGATTTCGGGTTTGGTGTTTAGGGATATTTAGGGACTTAGGGGATTAGTGGTTTAGGGATTTAGGAACTTAGGGGTTTAGGGTTGAAGGTTGAGTCAGGAAAGATCTTTCGTTCTCTGATGTTCGTGCTGTGAAAGAAAGTCTGACCATAGCAAGAATGAGAGTTAGATAGCCTAATGGCAACCGTAAGAACGAGAACGGCGTCAATGCAAAATGAGGACCGTTACCACTTCCGCAGGGGCGCAGGCCATCATTATAGCGACGACACCGGCTGTGAGTATCACAACTCCCACTCCTAGAAGCAATATTTCGCCGTAGTTGTATGCTGTCGTGCAGATTTCACATTGCCATAATCCTATCCGAACTTGAGCAGAGGAAAAGGGATGATGAAACCTCTCCGAGATGCCATGGGGCCCTGCGCCGTAAGGCCAGCTCCTGGACGAGCTGCCGGCCTAGGAGAGAGAGCGGGCTGTAATGTAGAGGGGCCTGAAGAATTAAAATAGGGCTTTGGGGGGGTTATTATCGCATAACTTATAAAGGAACCCTAAGGGAATACTATTAGTAATTCTTCCGACCCCTATATTACCCTCGTGTGCCGGGAAGAAACGGGGAGGGAGCCCCCTTCCTGGATCCTGGGCTCCGGACGCTCCACCCGGAGCATCTCCATGAGACCTGAAAAAAGGGATGTGCTAGAAGAAAGACGGCCCTCTTCTGCCTTGCTTCTGCGAGCTGGCGGGGGCTCTTGGGGACTCGCTGGGGACTCGTTGGGGACTGCAGAGCCTTCATGCGGCACCCAACCCTGCAATTGTTTTGGCATGTCGGCCAGCGCCAGCACAGGCCCTGGAAAGTGCGGAGTGCAACTGCCGGAGTCCAGCAGCATATCATGCCAAGTGGACTCGGGCCTCTAAGAGCCTCGAGCTTCGTCTGCCTGTCTTTCACTTCCATTGTTCACAGGAAGTTGTCGAGTTTTTGTCGAAGGGTTCTTTGAAGCGAGGGCTGCGGTCAGTCAGCTGGCACTGCCGCAATGATGTCCGCCGGCTGTAAACCGTCAATGAACCTTCAGCCAGCTTCAGATAGCTTCAAATAGCTTCAGTTCGCTTCAGCTAGCTTCACATGGCTTCAGTTAACTTCAATTCAGTTAGCTCCCTTGCTCCCCGTAATCTCGCGCAAGTCTCGCACAACACCCATTTTGAACCCTTTGACGGTCCCCAAAAAGGGTTCCACCCCCACTCCCCACAGACCTCCATGAATTTGGGGGAGGTTACCCCCCGAACAACCTTGTATGGCCGCCAGGGACCCTCACGACCCATCCAAGGGCATACCATCTTTGCATGGGATAAAACAAAACTTGAGCGAAATTTAAAACATCCGCATGGTGTCCAGGGGCTGGATCTTAAAGTCCGGGTTCACGCTGCGAAGCTTCTCGAGCACCATCTCCTGTGCGAAACATCGGTTTGAGAGTTGCTGTGCTTCTTTGTTTTTGGGGTGGGGTGGGGCGTCGGGTGGTGGTAGCTTAGCTTTAAGGTTTGACTGAACAGCTTTGGTTCGCTAGTGAGTATTGCAGTTCACGGCTTGGGTTGTCGTATGGTTGGCTACACATTACAATACAGGATCCTAACGAGGACCGAGTAACACGCAAAACAAGGAACGAGCAAGGCAACATTAAGTCCCCTAACGACCCCTAAGGGCCAGGCGCTCAGCTTCTGTGATGCTTGCCGTGGCTCCTCTCTGCCCTTTCCCACGATGACTATGTGCCCTTCAAGAGGACAACAATTGGAAGGGGGGGGAAGGAGGTCTCTTCAGTCATTTTAAGAGCCTGAGGAACTCTGTCATGCCCTTTATCTCAAGCTACTAGGAAGTCGACGACCTTGCCTTTTTTCATAAAGAATTCCCGGGGCCCTCCTTTTCCTGATTGAGAGATGACTTCAATACATATCCAACATCCGACGAAAATTTAACCAGTGGTCCAGCAATGGTCTGTCATTTTCTTCCGAGTAAGCACCATTTGTAGGTTTTGCTGATCGGAGGAGATTCTTGACAGCAAACATTGAGTGGGGAACTACTATGCCTAATAGCTCTATAAGATGTAAGTCACACGTGTCGACGCATTCCGCACGGCGTCCTGATTGGCCATTGCTGCTCACAAGCAATAATTAAAATACATCCTTGCACAGTGCAGCATTGTCTTGAAAATGAAGATCGCTGGCTTGGGTGTGTTGAACTGTGCACCCAAACATGAACAAGTTCTACAAGTAACTTGCAGTCCCGGCGAAGGCCTTTCGAAATTCAATCGTCTTCGCGAATTTCGTGCCAAAAGCAATCGTGGAGCGTGCCAGCAGAGTCTGTACTACATTAGCTCACCTTAAACAGCTTTTGGTTCAACGCACGTGTGCAAGATCCGAAACAAGTAGGTGCACGCGAGGGGGAGGGTGGGGGGCGGGTAGCATATTATATATATATGTACTTTTATATTCGTATATGCATATACAGATGCCAAGAAGATCAAAATTTATCAACACGATCCTTCTATTACACCCGCTGACCCTTTCGAATATCATGAATTTTCGCATTCATAGCGGGCCGCCTGGAACCCAGGACTGTCTACATTTTGTTAACTCTTCATAAATATGACCTTGAAAGCTACCTTTAAACTATGATTCATCAAAGTTATGAAGCTCTGAGCAGGCAAAGAGGAGCCCTGCCGATCCTCGGTGAGACCACGCCACCAGCCTGGGCTATGAGCACCAGGATAAGGGCGGGGGGGGAGGGGGAAGGCTAGAATATGGCTCCTTTTTTGGGGGGGGGGGGGGGATCCTCATTCGTGGCTTCAGTAGTGCTTCTGGCTTCTATTTCAGGGCTTGGGGTAGCGTTTGGGGTTTCGGGCACAGGCATCCTCTAGATCCAAGAAAAGGGGCCGGGTTCTGAGAAGGAACAAAGGATGGCGGTGCGCAAGCCATGATCGAGGGGCAAAGTCGAATCAGCCGAACATTGAACAACTCTCGTTGTAGCCTGTAGCCGGTACAACAAGATGGTGGGAGGGCTGTAGCCGTAGCACTCCTACACGACCTCGACCGCTGAAACCTCCAAAACTTCATCGGTGCGGCTTTGTGTGGGGTGTTCCCATCCAGGCTGTAGACAACGGCGGTCATCGATCAACACCTGATCTGCTGTATTGCAGCATTTTCGGCACGGGCAGCTCTCTTTCAAGGATGGCGAGCGGTCCATCGGGAAAAGGCTTGCAATCAGATTGCATATCGTGCGAAGCCCGAGGAAGCCCGAGGAAGCCCGAGGGTGTCGTTCTGAGTGCAGAAACTCCGCCTTGTGTTGCCGAGCCAACGGGTGCTGGGCAATGGCCTCTCCAAGATGAGAGGCCATGAGCGTCCAGAAAGGGAGAAGGATGAAAGCACATGGAAGAAACGAATCAAGCACGAAAGCAAACATGGAACATTGTAACACGTCGAGCTCAAGAACCCACTCATCCAGACGTCACTCCACTGGGCCTCTTGAAGGCAGCTCCCCCAAAGCTTCGCGAAGTTTTGAGGGGGACTTCGGGGCAAACGGCCTCCAGCTCCGTGAGAAGTGGGCATGCGCTCCTGCTCTTCGCGCTTCGCACGCAGCACTTCCCTCAGAGCTAACCACGTAACCCCAGCAACCTGTCTAACATCATGTGCAGAGACCATGCATGGAATGAGGGCCAGGGGGTCCTATCTGCTGCTTGTGCGTGTACATGTCGTATACATCTGTTTACACATGTTTACAACCCTGTAGACTCGGCATTGGCAGTCTCTACCGACTTTCCACTCAGACTCACAAGGCCTTCAAGGGACACCGGTACACTTAGGGTTGTTTAAGGTTAGAAAACCCGTTTAGGGTTGGCCACCTGGAATGCCGACACGGCACTGAGCTCCAGGGTCGCGGCCGTCCGATGCGGGATCTGCAGAGGATGCCGCGCGCTCCTACACGCATGATTCAGAGTGTGTCTCTAGCCATCCCTACAGCATGGCTTGGAGTCCAATGGTTTGTTCAGAGGATGAACGACTAAGTCAGTGCAGAATGTATTTTGCTTGTAGGCTGAGCCTAAGGGCAACAGCAGTTGCAAAAGCTTGCGCACGCCGAGCTGCGAGACGCTCTATGCCAGACAACTTGAGATCAAGTCCTGCACCCAGTAGCCGTGGGCATCCAGAAAGAATGTGCAAGGCCTCCACGGCTAAGAGGCAACAGCATCTAAGCACGACATGGGTTGTACAATGTTCTTACCTCGTTCACCCTCGCGGCGTGGCTGGGCGTGGCTATGGGCGCCAAGAGGCTCATCGAGGTCCCGGATGTGATGCCACAAGTTGGAGGAGTCGTCGTGCACGACCTCTTCTGGCAGGGAACTCTCAGACCAGTTTGCTGTCGATTTCCGGAGATTATCAGAACTCCACGTTGCCTAAGAGTTAGGGTGGAGGTACACTCCGTGCCCACTGCGTCCTTCTGTGCCTTCTTCCCCCCTTCCTAGCACAGCTGAGCCCGAGCACCTTGAGCAGCCCCGCCGCCAAGGGCAGCTTGAGCTTCTCCCGAGCTCTCTCGACGAGCTCGGCATTGACCTGTCGATCAGTGGCTCCGTGCTTCGTGCTTCGTGTCCCTGAGCTTTCTGGCGCAGCTTTTTCTCGTAATTTCGAAGCAAAGATGCCCTGATTGCACCAAGCCTGGCTGGAGATGAAGCTACACGCAGCTCCCAAACTACACAGGGATCCTTGCGATGACTACGTTTTCAGCCACTTTGCTGCTCAGGCAGCAGGCCCGACCTAACTCGGCTCCGTAAGCAGAGAGTCGGGCGCAAACGTACCAATGCCTGAACCCTTAGTTCTTGCACCTTTTGGCACCTAGCTTTCTTATTTATTGTATGAGTTACATTTTGTATTCAGTACCCCAAAACCCTAAACCCTAAACCCTAAACCCTAAACCCTAAACCCTAAACCCTAGACCTGCTAGCCCCGAGTTGGAGACACTCAGGGTCTCGTGCAACATACACATTCCCACAGGCCTCGACGGAGATCACCTGACAAGCGAAGGCTGCCCAAGCGGTCCCCCGCAAAATACGCTGGGTTGCTGTTAAAGAGCTGGCTTCAAGCTATCCTACTATGGAGAAAATACGAGTAGTATGCAATCTGGCTTTCTTACTGCAGCAACTTAGTTTCTGGAGTTCCGAGGCAGTTGGGGGTGTTTCAAGAGCATGAGAGTGTTTTGGTTGCCCTAACCCTAAGACACTTGACTAGCTGCAGGGGTGGAGCCTGCTTAAAGTCTTTAGGAGTTTAGGGGTCTAGAACTCGCTTTTTTCTGGGAGGGGGTGGGTCTGGTTCTTGGGCTTGGGGTTTAAGCTTCGGGGTTCAAAGGTGGGCGCATGCTGAGACCGAATTGTCCTGAAATAACCATAAGGCTTCATTGATGATCCCTAAATAGCCTCATTTGGGGGGCAACCTGGGGTGGAGGGGGGGGAGGGTTTAAGTCTTAGGGGAGGTCGAAATCCGAGCCCTAAACCCTAAACCCTAAACCTAAACCCTAAGCCCTAAAGGGAGCTTGAGAGACTCAGCTGAGAAGTTCTGGGAAGTGTTCTTCACAAGTTGGGTTGCATAGCCCAGCCACGGGGAATTGCCGAAAATTCGGGGTTCATTTAGGGTCCTGGAAGGATTCTACCTCCTCGGGGTATTTAGGGAAGAACCCCCCTAAACCCTAAACCCTAAACCCTAAACCCTAAACCCTAAACCCTAAACACACCCTTTAGAAGCCTGAGAGAGCCCAAGCTGGCAGCTGGCCTGTCGAAAGAGGCCGCTGGAGAGGGCCTTCAGCGCGCCCTTGGCTTGAATCTGCTGAGCTGGGTCTTCGCACTTCGGCCGAAGAGCCCTAAACCCTAAACCCTAAACCCTAAACCCTGCATTCTCCCCGGTTGAGACCTAAGGGTTTGAGGGTGTAGGGTGAGCTTTTCTCGCATGAAACCCTCCTTCCATGCTTCGCCCGAGCTTTACCTCCATCTTCACCCCCGAGGCCCTGCCTCTCCATGAAAGAGGCCCGTCTCCACGAAGTAGGTGCTCGCCTGATGCGGTCCATCTGACATCTTGACGCATGTAGTCTTGATGAGTTGGGGGCAAGGCTTCTGAACGTCCAGCACATCCCCTGTTGATCATCTCACTCTGCATCGGCTGCACTGCATTGAGGCATGCCTGAAGGGTCTTTTGGCTATTGCAGACCAGGCACGAATGGGCTGAGGTCGAACCAATCGAAGTTGATCGGCATGGGTTCGAGAGCACGTACACTTGCCCTACAGCTTGCAGCTGTTCTGAAGAGGCTGTGACACACGTCCCCCAAGGCCCTTCGCCCTACAACAAAGTTCTCTGAGGTGCTTGTCTGTTGCAGCTGGATTTTAGGATTTCTCAGGGCATGAGGGCATGGACATGGTGCTGGCTGAAATCTCACGTGGTGTCAGCGAAGGGCAAACTTGCTTCAACTCGCTTCAACTATGCTATTCTCGGTTGTCGCGCAGCTCCGTGTTCTCTTGTGCGTGTGCTTTGCGGTGCACCTTGCGAGCGAAGCTTGAGCCGCTAAGCCTGTGCCGACATCATGCGAACTGTGTGCAGGACAACTTGTTCTCGGAGCTTTGAGATCTGAGCCTCTGCAGGTAGAAGCTCATACTGTTGCTTGCGTTCCCTGCCCTCAGCTATGAACTACCATCTAGTCAGGATGGGAACAGCTGCAGGATGCTGGTGCAGCTGGTCGCACAGGTCGCACCTCGGCGTGCGCCGCCCTCCTCGTCCTCCTCCAACCAAGCTGCGTCCTTCAAATCAGCCCTGCAGCCCAATGTTTGGATACTGCAGGCTCACAGCTGTCAGGCAAAGACGCTTCCAACCGAAACCGCGCAAGAATGAAAGCACGCCTCAAAGGAGCTCAGGGAGTCCTCCTCTTCCTCATCCATGCATGTGTCGGGACGCCCCGACACAAGCCAGGGACACCACGCGTGGGCTTTTGCTCGCCGCTGGAGGGTTTGAAAGGTGCTTAGGGGCATCTCATGGCATCTCTTTTATGATGCTGCAGTCCAAGGTTCTGAAGCCGTGTGGTTTGGGACTTGAGGTCCGGAAAAGATGCGTGGCTGTTCCACGGCCCGCCGCGTCAGTTCTTGGACAGGACAATGGGGTCGCGATCCTACTCAGCAAAGAGGGGCCTCAACGGCATTAGGCGTAGTTTCATGATCTGCTGCTTCCACTTGTATAGATGTTCAAAGCTGAATTCTGGGAGCCGAAGAGAAGCGGAGCTGTTGAGAAGGCAGCCTGGCAATGCCTGGCAGGACTTGATGTTCCGGAGTGGAGCTCTGCTTCGAGTGGTGTAGGGTCAACTCGAGGCTCTCTGCATTTGGGGTACTTCGGGCTGCTTCTTCGGAAAGGTACCGTAACTGTCCTGTTCTGGTCAGTACAACTCAGTACACTTACATGCTCATGGATCAGCAAATCGCGAGGCGGATGGGTCGCGCCGATGCTGCGATTGGCAGGTAGTCGAATAGCTCCGTCACACTCTGCCAGACCTGAATGACGCATGCGAAACGCGTTAGGCCGTTAGGCGCCGAACGGGAAATGCAGGATTCTGAAACGTCCAATGGTCTCGAAGCACGCGAGGCATGTAATGCTAGGCTACAAGTAGGAAACAAGCCTCACTCAGGGCGGTGGCATGCAGGCATGCAAGTCCGCTGCATGCCCTATAGCCCAAGGCGTTCAGTGCGCAAGCCACAGCCTACGGCAGGTCCAATCCTTCTGGGATCCCCACAGAGGCGTCGCCGTACTTGCGGACACACTCGGCATAGAAGCCATAAACCTCGCGAAGCACTCTGCCCAGTTTTCGGGGCCTCACATGCCCTCAAGGCCAGCCAAAACTGGGTAAAAACTCCAGGGCCCGAAACATCACAGACTTCAGAAAAGCTCCAAGGGCCCTTGCAAAGAGAGCGATCTTTGCAAGGGGGTTTTGTGCTGTTCTTCTGTGTTTTGTGTGTGTTTCTTGTCGTGGTGCTTCGTGCTGTTCTTCTGTGCTTCAGATAGCATTGCAACAGCCGGGGTCGACTGGCAACAGCCGGGGTCGACTGGATTCGGAGCCTGGGTGATCTGCCGGCTCTCGTGGTTGCCACGCAGCAACCTTACCACTTCGAAAATCTGTAGCAAAACTGTGATGAAGGCACTCGGCATCTCTGCACTTGACAAGAGAAGCTGTTAGGTAACGCAACCCGTTGCTGTCTCAGACGTTCCTAGGCAGGCAGCTTCCTGAACCTGCTGGCGCTTGCATTCCGGAGCTCCGCACGTGATTCGCTCTGGGTGGCTGAGCTTCAGCAGCGCTAGCAGCCTGGCAAGGATTCTTAAGAGCATGCGCGGAGCTCTGAGCCTGGGGCCCATCTGCTACACCTAAACATGCCGCAGGAGAAAGCAGACACTCCCCCCCCCCCACACACAACAAACCAAAGGCACCATCCGGTCCATAAGAGGGCCAAGCGGGCACGATCGTTTCGACCGAGAAAGGGCCGCGATCGACGTAATCGCCGAGGAACAGGTAGTTGGTGTGCGGAACCTGAGGGTCGGCAGGTACAAGATCAGACCTGGCGCGGCTGGCCTTTCGCTGCAGCCCCAGCAAACAACTCTTTTCGGGAACTGCCGCCCGGACGACAATCACCAGCTCGAGAGCAGTCACAAACTTCACAAACGCAAACGGGTGCTAGAACACCTGGACCCCGCAATGGGCACCGCACGGGTCCCCCAATTCGAAACATCTCCAGCAGGTCGAAGACCTGCCGCGACAGGGGAATGTGAAAAATGATTGAGAATACGTGGGCTGGCCACGGTACTTTGCCAAAGTTCCCCATGGCTGGCTCCCAAACTTTTTGGGGCCGAGAGTCTGCAAGAGCCGAACATGAGCCGAACATGCGAGTTCGGAGGAAGAGGGCATGCTCAAGCATATGCCGCATGCGACCCCAAAAACACACCTGGCCATGCACATCGCCCACGACCGTCACGGGTACGGGCACGGGCTTCACCTCAGTGCTCAGGCTTCGTTTCAGCCCTGGGGTCAAGAGGAGGGTTTCGGGGCACAATAGCAGCGGAATGAAGGAACTCATCAACTGAAGAACCGAAGACACCCCAAAAAACCCGAAACCCCAACCCCTCAATGTCTAAAAAAGAAGAATGCCGCTTCTCTTTCAAAATGCCGGGTTGCGTTGCACTCGCGGAGCAGCACCGGCTTCAGGCGCTGGGAAGCAGGAGAAGGGGAGGGGGGGCCGTCGTAAGTCTCATGATTTGAGGGGCGTTGTATTCGTTTACAGCAAGACGATAGCAAGATGGAGAGCGAAATGTTGAGTGATCTTGTGGCAGTGTATGGTAGCACTATCGAAGTAGTGTCGTAATAGTATGGTACTCGTAGGGTGTATTGCTCTTGGGCTCAAAGTAGCGGTCTCCTTCGAGATGTACAGAGGTCATCGAGTATACACGCTGCACAATCAACCCACTTAGCTGACTTAACTAACCTTCGCGACCGCATGGGATGTGCGCAGCCTCGCAGAGAGCCTTCGCCGTTGAGGAATCCAGGAGCTGGCAAGCTAAGGCCTGCAGTGCGGAACAGGGTTTAGGGTGGGTTTAGGGTTTAGGGTTTAGGGTTCTTTTGTCTACCAGTAGAATTATGCACAGCAAGCACGGGCCGCATGGGTCAAGAGGGCAGGGAAAAAAACCTTCGAAACACCCGCGAGGGCTGCTTCTTGGGCCTGCGTTGACCTTTTGTTGGGTGGCTGTTGTGAGAGGCTTCTGCCTGCTCCAGCTACCTCGGCTTAGAGTTTCAAGTTTTTTGAGGTTCTTTGAGGTTCTTTTGAGGTTCCTTGAGTTCCTTGAGGCCCTTCCCTTCCATTCATGAACCAGCACAAGCGAGCACACAACAAGGGACATGAGGAAGCTTCGCTCGCGCACAATTTCAGACTCCCGCCCTAACGCATACTGCAACATCAAACAGAAGGTGCCACCGGCGCCTTTCTTGGCCCGACCCCTTGGAGGAAAACAAAGAATCACTCCCATGGCGCTTTGGTGACACCGGGTGAATGGGTTGCAGTTTAGGGTTTAGGGTTTAGGGTTTAGGGTTTAGGGTTTAGGGTTTAGGGTTTAGGGTTTAGGGTTTAGGGTTTAGGGTTTAGGGTTTAGGGTTTAGGGTTTAGGGTTTAGGGTTTAGGGTTTAGGGTTTAGGGTTTAGGGTTTAGGGTTTAGGGTTTAGGGTTTAGGATTAGGTTTAGGTTTAGGTTTAGGGTTTTGGGTTTAAGGTTTAGGGTTTAGGGTTTAGGGTTTAGGGTTTAAGGGTTAAGGGTTTAGGGTTTAAGGTTTAGGGGTTAGGGTTTAGGGTTTAGGGCAGCCCAACCGTACACCGACCAAATGTGAATCCCCAGCGCAATGGGCCTTCTCAGTCGCTGCTTCCACCTGTGCCGGGGTACACATGGAGATTGGTGAAACTGACATCGGCCACAAGCAGAGCAACATCCAAACATGTCCAACCTCCGTGACACCCTAAGCACCCCACCCCCACCAACCCCCCCAGGCACCAAACCCCCCTCAAGCCCAAAACCCAAGCCCAAAACCCTAAACCCAAGCCCCAAACCCGAAAAAAACGAAATCAAAAGAATGTCCCCCTGCTGTTCTCACAGTCTCTCAGCCCCGGGCATCGAAGGGCATGCGCCCAAAGCGGCACAAAACCTGGGAAGTCCATTGCTGCTTGGAAGTCAAGCTCTGCAAAACTGTCAGGCACGGTCCGAGCCTTTTTCGGCTCTAGAACCCTAAACCCTAAACCCTAAACCCTAAGCCCTAAGCCCGAAGCCCTTAGCCCTTAGCCCTAAGCCCTAAGCCCTAAACCCAGCGACGAATCGGCACCTCGCCCGAGTCGACTCAAGAGCTTTTCCCTTCAGACGGGCATTCCCCTCGCATCTCACGAGTTCTCAGTATGGAATCAGGGAACTCGGCACCACTATAAAATCCTTTAAGCCAGTAAAAGCCAGTAAGATGCGGCAGCAGCAGAAAGTTCAAAAGGAGACACCACCAAGTTGGCACAAGCTTAAGCCCGGTGCTCTTTGGCCATGTGCCGGCTGCCGATGGTGAAAGCATCGAAATGGCAGAAACAGCACAGACCAAGAGGGCTGAGACTGGCTTGGGGGGTGGGGCTGAGACTGGCTTGAGGGTTGCTGAGGGCTGCTGTGTGCAGGTTGTGTTGCCACGACTGCTCTAGTATGTCCCGCAGAAGGTTTGAAGGCAACAAGTTGCTGGCTTGGTAGGCTAACCTAGGCAAAAGCTTGCCTGAGGAATTTGAAGAAGGAGGGATGGGAGTCCTTGGGTCATTGGAGGTGGTGAAGCTTGAGACGCTGCAAAGATGCCGACTTTGAGACATCCGTCGCTCTTCATCTGACATCTCAGACATCTCTCTAACCTGGCTGTGACGTTCTCACCTTGAACCCTAAGCTTCGGGCATCGTAGCGAAGGCCTTCGGAAACCAACAGAGAAAGTTGTCCCAAGCTCAAGACCTCTCCAGCAGCAGAGTTGTGCAACCGAGCAGGGCAGAGTTTCCATCCAGAACCCCTCGGCCCTTCAGTCCAGACACGAGTGAGACGTGCTATGCTGGGTCTTCTCCAGCATCAAACGTATCAAACCTTCAACAGCTCCGCATCGCTCCGCCCTTCCTTGAGGGGCGCAGCAATGCGCAGCACACGTTCCTTGGTCCTGAATGCCTTGTGATGCCTCTTGATGCCTCGTGCCATTAACTCTTCGTCTCATGTCACACACCGTCAACCCGGGCGACACGATGCCCCGTCGCTGGAACGCCATAGCTGGACGGCGACTCCACGCCATGTTCTACGCGAAGAAACCCCCAAGCAACAAGAATCACCAAGTCACTTAAATGGGTACTTCCCAAAATAGGGGTGCCCATTTGTACCCCAAATAGAATAGAATCCCCTGAAAGCGAACCCCCCCAAAAAAGGGTCTTTTTTCTCCTATTTTTCGGAAAACCCCAAATGTCACTAAAGATCCCAAGTTGGGCATCAGGACCTTTTTGGGACCCTTGGGAGGCTGGAGCAGTGCTAGGAAAGGCGCACACTGAAAAACTGGCGGCTCTGAGTTTCTAACGGTCACAGCCACCCGACCCCTCCAGCCACCCTTTGATCTCCTCAGGAGACCCCTCCTCCAGGGCATCCCAGAGAGACCTGATCACGAGAGTCCGGCCTTTCAATCCGGCAGAAGCTTGGACGATCCGGAGATCTGAAAGAACCGTCCAGTTTCCTAAGCACAAGCCACGGTTTAGGGTTTAGGGTTTAGGGTTCTAAGGGTTAAGGGTTTTAAGGGGTTAAGGGTTCAGGGTGTGGGGTTTAGGGTTTAGGGTTTATCAAGAACCCAGGAAGTGGCAAGACTGGCCCCACCAACTCTCTTGTGGCCACATCATACGGATAGGTATTGCAGGGCACCTACTGTTGCACCTTATTCCCTCTGAGCTCCGTGATCTGTGCTGCCCAAAAACTCCTGAAATCGTTCCATCACGCTATGGACCGTCCAAGAGCACCATGGAAAAAGACGTGCTCGGTCTCTGGAAATCTTAAATGGGATCAATCGCAGATGTTCGTCTGGACTCAACCTCATTCCTTCACTGAGCAGAGCCGAATAGTCGCAAAGTGCCGCCACTCAGGCCAGATGTGTGATGGAACGAGGTCCCCTCCCCGAACATTGCGAGCGTTGTTCAGCACCGTCCTTACTTCGCCATGCCGTCTTGCTCGACTCAGCTCAGGTACCCTGGTATGAAACGACAACACAACAGCTTGCAAAAATGCCAGAATGGATGTGAAAGGCACCCTCACACCGAACGAGCACCGCCAGGACCCTCTCTACGTCAGATCTTGCACGTCAGCGAAGCAAACAAACCCTGTCCTAAACGATTGAATTGACGGCATCGAAAGCTGCTGTTTCAACTTGATCGCTCCACAAGGCTTGAAAGGGCTGTTCATTTTGTGCATGAGTCGCTGGTCTACTGAGCCTACTCATGTTGAACAATGATGCTGAACAAGGCCCCCCGGGCGAATGCCTTCTGCTTGTCCTTGCATAGGCAGAAGTTTTCTCGCGCAGATGAAGCTGAAGGACTCCCTCCATGATTGTGACCCCTAGCAGTCCTGGAACACAGCAGCCTTAGCACAAGCTTCAATTTTGTGAAGCTTGTCTTCAACCAGAGCTTCGTCCTCAACACATCCGTTACGGAAAACGCTGAATCCAGCCCTTCTAGAGATGCTTTCTGGCCCTTCTGGCTCTCCTCCAGCCACTCACTACGAAACCCTGCCCGTCTGCAACGCAGACGGTCAGGGCCCATGGCAAAATCGGAAGCACCGGCTGTTCAGGCTGTGCATGGTAACCGCCCGGTTGAACACGCAGCATAAGGCTACAGGTCTCGAACGAAATCATGGCTACTACAGCCCTGCTCCCGACTTGCCAGCAATGGTCACACGAGTGACGGAAAAGGTTCGCGACGTGGTTGGATGGTTCCCTGGCGTTCGGGGTCGATTGTGTCGAGCACTCGGGCTTCGAAGGGCTTTGTGGAACCGGCATGTTGCAAGGGCCCGTAGGAAAAAGAACTGCCCTCCAAACATCTTGCATCTCTGGTCACATAGGCGGCAACCAGCGTTGCGCTTGTCGAACCAGCACACAGCTTTCACCTTCCAAACATTCTCTAACGGGGATGGGGGCCTCAGGGCCGTGGGCACGGGCATTCTTGATTGGAGAAGGTACGCCCTGGAACCTCGTGCGGAAACAACCTCTCTTTCAGAGACGGTAAAAAGCTGAGGGCTCGTAGACCAGCGACTTTCTTTGAGGCAACTCTACGTCTCGATCTGTTCTGAGGCTTCGGCGGACTTCTGTGGGTAGGGGATTGAGGGGTCGCTGAACTCACCCGAATTCTCTTTGCCGAGTGGATCCCCTAACTTGAGCGAAAAAAAGATGTTCCCTGGCTAGAACTGATCCTTCAATTGCAACTTCTGGGTCGCGGCCACGTTCTACGGCCCACAGCACGTAAGAACCTTCCATCTAAGCGCACGGGCACCTGGCGACAGGTCGGAGACTCCATCTGTTGCGGGGGATTTGCGTGGACAATACACATCAATACACCCTAAAGCCCCCTACAAGCCCTAAACGTACCCTAACCCTCAACCCTACAAACCTTAAACCCTAAGCACCCTATGTTTGGTCTTACGAGTCCTCCGGCCAGTCGGAGAGGCGTCCGGCCCTTGGAGCTATCCATAGAGGATCCCATTGCGTGACGCGCGAGCCGTTCGGAACAGTTTCGGGCGAAGGCTCCTGGGCCCTAACACTTCCCGTAACATCCCTGTAACCTCCCACAAAAGCAGCCGTCAGAACCTTCCTAGAAAATTCCCAGAAGTCTTCTCCTTCGATCTCAGGCTTGGGTCTGAGATCTCACTTAGATTTTATCCGGAAGACCTCACTGATTGTGGTGCTCGCAGGCCTCTCAAACTCAACCGACTTTCACTTTGAGCAGCTGCTCTTCTCACCTAATTTTCGATACGATCATGGGGACTCTCGGAGGCGTTCCGCGTCTCTTCGCTTGGGAAGGTGGGATGTTTGCGCGCTCATTGGGCCTTCTCGCGGCCAGGGCAGTCCTGCACATGGTCTTGTACCCTAAAAACCCTAAACCCTAAACCCGAAACCCTAAACCCGAAACCCTAAACCCTAAACCCTAACCCTAACCTAAACCCTAAACCCTAATTGTGACCATTAGGCTTAGGAGGTTTTTGGTGGAATGGAGAGAGAGTCCGGTCTTTGGGGGGAAGGGGAGCGGGACCCCATGAAGAAGCATGCGCCAACGTGAGTGGTGTGAAACGTCCCGGCTGGGATGCCCTTGCTCTTCGACCTATTGCTTGTTTGGGCCTGTTTATGAGGGTTTAGGGTTTAGGGTTTAGGGTTTAGGGTTTAGGGTTTAGGGTTCGGGGTTTGGGGTTTAGGCCTGTTTATGAGAGGGATCTTACACACGGCAGCACCGACGGTCCGATCCATCCATGTGTGGACTTGCCACCTTTGTGGCAGTCCTGAGACGCAGGTCACAAGCCGCTGGGCTTTCTTCGAGGTTTTGGGGAAGTTGTGATCACTGGGCAGAGCGCAGGAATCAAAGTGTCATGTCTCCGTCATGCATGAAGACATATTTGCGTGCCGCGAGCCTTTCAGAATGGATAGGACAATTGCACAAAGTCTTCGGCGAAGCCATCGCAGCGGGCCTGTCTCGCAAACTGCATGAGAAGACTTCTTAAAAAACATGGGGGGCAGTTCTTACATGTTCTTCCTAAACCCTACACCCTACACCCTAAACCCTAAACCCTAGACCCTAAACCCTCCTGGGCTGCTGTATCTGCTACTTTGCTGGCGGCTGTGCCAGGGTGAAGGCATCATGGAGCAGGGTGGAGGATGCACTACATTGCTGCAAGCAACTGATAATGATAATAAGAAGAAGAATAGCAAGAATAATAAAAGTAAGACTAATAATCATAATAATCCTAATAATCATAACAATCATAACAATCATAAGAATCATAACAATCATAATAATCCTAACAATCATAACAATCATAATAATCATAATAAGCATAATAATCATAATGATAATAATAATGATAATAATGTTGATAATAATAATAATAACTTTAGCACAACGCTCGGCCTCTTCAGGAGATGGTGCAGTTGCACCCTTTCTGCCCCCGATCACCCCAAAGGTCATTGACCTCATGCACCTGGCGGCAGGTCTCTCATGCCAGGCCAAACAACCGCTCATGCTCTCTCCGTGTCGAGTACGCAACGCCATCAACTTGTCATCAACGCCACGCATCTTTCAAAGCACATTCGCCGGAGGTCTCCTAGCCACAGCACTGGGCTTGCCGCCGGCTCTTGCCGAGCGAATTCACGCAGATTGAGACAACGGAACTTCTGAGGCTTAGGGGATGTGTTGCGACTTTATTTTGGCGAGGCTTCTGTCAAACGTCACAGGTTTTTGTCATCTCCCGGCGCGGATGCATTATCATCTTTCTATTGGGGACCTGCGAAAAGGACCTGCCCAAAGGCCGGCCTCGGACCTCCTCGGACATCCGAAACTAGGTATGGTTCATGTGGGTCATGTGGGTCATGTGGGTCATGTGGGTCATGTGGGTCCCCTGTAGGACACAGAAGCTGGGCAACGTACTCCGAGGCAAGCAGCCTCTGCGCTATGCGACGCGAACCCTCAAGCTGACATTACCTTGCAAGTGGCCCTAAACCCTAAACCCTAAACCCTAAACCCTAAACCCTAAACCCCAAACCCTAAACCCGAACCCCAACTTCCAAGCAATATTGGAGCAGGTCCCTTTCAGAGCAGCCAGCTGTTTGGCGGCTTCCCCAGACGGGGGTATTTGTGCAGAATGGCTCGGCCAAAAAACAGAAGGCCGGACCCAATTAGCCAATAAACGTTACACTGCATGCTGCTCTGAAACCAGGCGTTTTGTCGTGAATCAGCGCTGAAGAATCTTGACTGAAACGGGTGTGGTCAGGAATGTCAGCTGTCGCAATGCATGCTATTCTCGTTCGACCTGACCCCACTTGGCTACCAAATTGGGCCTCGGCGCTTCACCGCAGAACGCGAGCCCCACAAGTGCACTTGTGGACACTTGCGCTCTCAATGGACACAAGAGGCAGAAGTTTTACAGCATCCAGCCAATACGCAGAAGAAGTCTTCTGCTGCAACAAGAAAACGAACTGTGGGAAGCTTACACTTCTGCATGGTGTCAGCCGTCTCTGAGACGGCCGCCTAGGAGATGGACGTTGCCCAGGGCACGCAACTGCAAGGAATGACGGTAATACACATTCTTTCGTTACTTCTTTTCTACATTTTTGCTCACAAGCCCCATCCCAATCTCGCGAAGAAGACCGACCTGCGCGACTTCGTATCGGCTTTAGACCGAGACATCTTCAACAGAGGGCTCAGGAAAGGGGCTCTTGGTAATTTGGTAAGCTGTCACACTGGCAAGAGGAGGCCAGCTGACGAACCAGCAAGGCGGAATGCCATGCACGAGTTCAAAGGCCATGTTCGTATTTGAAGAAGAACACATGCGCGGGTGCAAAACAGATCAAAACAACATTCCAGCCGCATCGTGGACATTCTACTCACTGCCCTAGAACTGCCGTTTCCAGGTGCTTTGCCATCAGACAGTTGAGGACCGGATGCCCTGCGATGGATAGGCAGCTGGAGCGCTCGATGGCGCTAGCGTTAGCGCGTTCAGGAGCCGATGTGTTCCGCTTCGGGAGGCGGGGTGGCGGAGGTAACATGCGCGAAGATTTGCCAACTGGGCTGGGGTGGAGAGCTGCAGAGGCGCCGTGCTGCTCGGTACCTTCAGACTGACATGTGCAAAAACGTTGGGTCTGTCTTGCATCTGGGATGAACCTGCACGTGTGCTGAAAGGTTTCCAGAACACCGAAAACACGGACTCTCAAATCAAGCTTCGCTCCTTGACTGGAGAGCGAGAATACGTTCGCAAATCTCGCAAGATGCAACACTCTAGCTTACCGCTATTGCCACCATTGCAGTCAGCTTATGCCCAGGGGCCTTGCCGACCCCAAAATAAATCTTGGCCGCATGACTGCTTAAGGCTTCACGGGCCATAACGAAGACAGCAAAATCAACAGTGAACCCACTAAACCCCAAACACCTAAACCCTAAACCCTAAACCCTAAACCCTAAACCCACTAAACCCTAAACCCTAAAACACCCCCTCCGAGCCTATCATGGACCCCAAGCCTTTTGCTCGGGTTCGCGCTCGATGGCTGCAGGACGGTTCCAAACCAGATGCGTGTGGGGGGGTTTGCTGGTGATGCTCTACAATAGAGTTTAGGGTTTAGGGTTTAGGGTTTAGGGTTTAGGGTTTAGGGTTTAGGGTTTAGGGTTTAGGGTTTAGGGTTTAGGGTTTAGGGTTTAGGGTTTAGGGTTTAGGGTCAGGTAACACTTTGAAGATATAGACTCCTGCAAAGCCCTTGACTTTCAAACGAGACCCTCATGTCCAATGAGCTGCTCTACAAGAGTGAGGAAAAACACTTCGAAGAAACAATAAGCCTTTAACTTTCAAACGAGACCCTCATGTCTAATAAGAAGAAACCGCCTCGACCTCTCTCAGTCCCGTCCAGCATGCCAAGCGCCTATACCCCGCACGCTCTCACTGGGATCTTGCAGCAGTGAGTAGCTTCGTATAAACATGGACCTAGAAGTATCTGCATAGATCTTAAGGGCACAGGACGTTTCTGGCGCTGGATCCTTCACCTACAACAACATCAAGAACTTCAAAGGACAGTGGCCAGTGACATGACATTGAGTACTGCGCCCTTCTGCTGCAAGATCTGGGTACAAAGAAGCCCATGTGGGAGTTATGGAACTGCACAACTTACACACTGCAGATAGTGTCAGAGAAAGGCTGAAGCCCCTTGCACCTGAGGTTGAATGCTTCAACTCTGCCATAACTCGGTCTCAGGCCCCATTGCGGGAGGCCGTGACAGATCAGAGCGCGAACGGGCGCCGACCCTTCTGAGGCATTCTTATGGCTCCAGTATGTGGGCAGTTCCCTTTGGAGTTCAGTCTTAAGGCGGAGCCTAACCTACACCAAGCTCTGGAGAAACCACCCCTCCAAAATGTGCCAAGCTGGACACTCGCTACCTGGCCCCAGACGCTATCAAACTCTCAACCACAACCATCTGAATATTCTGGTGTCTTTCAACTTAACTTGCTTGAATCTCGCAGGCAGAGACCCAAAGCCCAAGCACGTAAAGACTCAGAAGGAGCGGGCCGCGCGCAGAAATCGCCGCCGCTCGGGCGGCGCACGCCCATGGAGGAGGTTCGGCATGACCGCGATGCCCTGGCAGCAACAGACTTTGCCTACTGCTCTGGTGTTTTTGCAGTGTGTTTAGAATACTGTCCCTCACCTTCCATGCCCCCCCCCCCCCGTAGCTGCGAAAGCTAGATGCGCTCTATGGAGTCCGTGGCGGGCGCAGGTTTTGACGAAATGCAGGGCGCCTCATGCGACCCCACAAGGGGCTTAGACTCGACAGTGTGCGGCGTTGGATGGCACTTTGGGCAGCGGCTTCGGGATGTTTAGGGCTTCCCCCGCTGGAGCAGCCTGGTGGCGCAGCCGTCGCGACCTCGAGAAAGCCCCAGCAGCTCCAAGACAGAGAGAGGTGCAAAAAGATGCTGGGGAAATGGAGAGCCTTTTGTTGATCACGATGTTGCACTTTTGCTGTTCTTCTCTATAATCAACTCTACCAAGCCACAAAAAGAACCCAAGCCCTTGGAAACATCTTGAACCCTTGAACCCGAAACCCGACCAGACAGTTCCAAAAGCCCTGTCCTGGCAGAAGCTCCCCGCTTTTTGGAATCCCGGCGCCTTGCCCAGAAGCCCTCAGCCGAGGTTTTGCCCTGATAGCCCACGGAAAAAACCACTACCGAAACCCTGCTGAACATACCGAACCCTTTACAAAAAACAACCTCGCCATTTACAAGGGACAAGGGACATGAACAACGCTTAACAACCCAAAGACACAGCGCGCTTTCACTTGCGAGCCAAGAGGCACAAAAATCTTGAGGCCGACGGACAGCGCGCAGGAGAAAAACAAAATGACCTTGGATGCCACAGATGCTGCATTTAGGGCTTTTTAACTCTCAAAAACTCTATTTAGGGCTTTAGGGCTTTAGGGTTTTTAAGGGTTTTAGTGCTAAAAGACCCTAAAAGAGAGCGCGAGCTTCGCAAAACCCTTTGCGAACCACCCAGTTTTCTGCTAAGACCGTGGACGGTGAGGACTCTTGGTTTGGAAGGGCCGACAGCTCAAAGCGCTCGGAACGGCTGAATTTTTTTTTTGGGGGGGGGGGGGGGGGGGAAAACTGTCAAGCTTGCCCCCACGAGAGACAACACGGAAAAAAAAAAATGGAACTCGCAGGGCAAGGCTCCAGGCAGGCACGGTAAAAGAAAATCGGCCGCCGCGTTTCCAGGCCGCTGGTGATGTTCATCCCTTGGCTTCTGAGAGTGAGCGCAACATGTAAACATAGTCATCATCAGCACTTTAAGTTATAACAGTGGGGAACATACGAAGAAAGGAATGCCATTCATCGTATGAAGAATGGAGATGATGATCTTCACGAAGGAGTGTGCGCAACTCTCCTGCGTATCTCCTATCTCCTTTTGCAGACTGGAATGCCTTGCAGTCTAGACTACACGGCGCAGCTGCTGCAGCTACCTCGGTAGCTACCCTCTTCGGCAACGTCTTGAAGACGTCCTCAAGCTGAGGAGCCGAAAATGCCGGTAACGAAGGCGCCAAAACTCCTGAGGAGATTGGGTTCTCATGGCTTCTCATGGCTTCTCATGGCTTCTCATTCGGCGGCGTCTCAAGAAATCACAAGCTCTGCAAAGTCCCTGCCGAGGCACAGCCCAACGCCGAGCTGCTCCAGCCACAGCTGAGACTTTTCCAGCTCCAACCTGCAGAAGCAAGAGACACCTCAACAAATTCACCAAAAAAGGCGCTTACATGTGTCGTGCACGGCACTCATCTGCGCTCCGCAGCCTCCTTGAACTCAGCCTCAGCAGCCAAAAGTTCTCCAGGTCGTCGATTCGTTCCGCGTGCGCGGAGACCTCGCAGCTCCAGGGTGAGCCTGAATCACGCGCATCGGCTCAGGAGCTCGCCACGCCTCGGCATCGACCTCCGCGGCGCTCTGGGAGTAGTACTCGAAGCAGAGCTCCCACTCCTCACAGAGAGAGAGAGAGAGAGAGAAATGAGCAACGGTGCCGATCAAGCCCGAAACGGACAACAACGAAAACGTACGGAAAGAGGGAGAGAACAGGCGAGTCATGCAAAGCTATATTGAAGCCGGAATGGAGACCGGATCCAGACTCAGCCTATTTGCAATACACAGCAAGTCGGAGTGGGGACAGCGGGGGGGGGGGTGGTGGTGGGTCTCTCCTCTTTGGTCGGTCCAACCGACTTGGCGAGGTCTGACAGGTCGTCCTCTCTCAGGGCGCAGCAGTTCAGGAGCTTGGCCAGCTCAAAGGCTCGGCTTCGGGTCTTGAAAGCTAGCTCAAGCCCTACAAAAACAAAAGCTTCGGTGAGCGAGCTCCCTGGACCCAGGCAACAAGTCCCCATGAGACTTACTCTGCGGAACCTCAGTACTTCTGAGCTAGCGCGAACATGCTGTGGCCAAAGCAAAGCCCTGCATGTTCGTGGGCGGGAAAGGGGGGGATGTAATTGCCTCATCACACAACTACAAGACGACAACGTCGGAGATGCCCCCAACTGCCTCCGGCCAGCCCCGACTGCAGTCCTCGTCTTCAAGCGCCTGGAAGAGCATTGTCTGGAAGCTCTTGGCCTCCAGCTGTGCATCACTTGGAGGTTCATGGTACTTATTTACCAATTATGACTGTACTTATAGCCCACATATAAGGCCCTTAAGTGCTCAATATGGAAAAAAGCACAGTCATGATTGGTTAATAAGTAGCATGAACCTCCAAAAACGGTGTAGCTGCTTTGGCTGCTTGCAGCTGCTAGTCCCTGGGGCAAGACGCGCGAAAGCAGTTGCAGAAGCCTCCTTTGTAGCCCGAAGTAAGCATAGGGCTTTGGGGACCTAAGGTCCTATAGTCCTATAGGATCCCAAACAGAAGGAAACGGAAGGCAAGAGAAGGCAAGGCCTGGGATTGCACCGAGTCCAAGCGCTGCTTGGTGAAGCGCAGCTTCTCGAGCTGGAGGGAGCCAGCCTCAAGGCTCGGGGGGAGCAGAGGAGGGAGAGTGTAAACCCAGGGATCTGTGCGTAAAGGAAGATAGACAGACGGAATTGTAGATAGACATGTATCATCATTAACCATAAACAGAAAAAACTTTAGAACAATGCCCCCCGAACAGGGGCCCTCAGTCCTCAGTTAGAAAACAGCCCCTCTCCCCGTTCAGTTCGCTTTCGGAGGCGTCTTCTTTTCTCTTGACTGTCCTGGGCTCACGCTTGGTTGCGCCCACAACTCCCACGACCTAAGCCTTCGACCCGAGTTTAGGGTCCTATCCTAAACCGCCAGGAGTCCGCGCCTGATCTTGGCGCGTTTCGGAGTCTCCTTACACGAGCGACTCCATTCGGGAACTGTCCGAGGTCTGCCCTAAACCTAAACCCCAAACCCAAAACCCTGCTAATACTAGGTAGATTGATCTTGGGCAAATACTACTGCTGCTGCCTTCTCCTGCTGACTTCTACTACGACGACTACCACTACCCAGCACCACCCCTACCACTACTACCACTGTCACTGCGACTACTACTAGTTACTACTACTGCCACCACCCCGGATGTTGCGGACACTTCTACTATCATTATGATTTGCCAGTGTCTATCAAACTATCAGACATCATGTCCTGAATGTTGTGGAAAACGGAAGTGAGGTACCGACAAGGGCCTCTCTGGCCTACTTGCAGGGCTGCGCAGCTGTGGCGCTGTCTTCTCCACGCCAGGGCGCTGATTAGCCAGTTCGCTTCGTGGACTGCCTCCTGCAACTTGCCGGATATTCTATCCAGGTAGATCGCCAGAAGCGCCTCCCACGAAGGTATGCAAGACTGAAAGGTCAGATCTGCCGAGGATCAAAGCAATGATGGGGAATGCAGAGCTCGAGATTGTCGCTTCGCGAAGCTGGGTGGCCTCTGTCACAGCCAAGGCAAACGGCACGGGCTCACCTTAGTGCTCTGGGGCAGACGTTGAGAAAGAGCTCTCTTTGACCGACACTATTGGCCCTCGGACGCAATGCAGCAGGCAGAAACATGCTAGCAACTAGGAACTTTAGCTTCCCTTTGACCTCCTTGACACATCACAAATCACCACAGCTTTACATATCTTTGCATCCCGACCCTGCCCCTCTGCTCCAATGCACTATGCGGAGCCATGTGAGACAGTTCCAATGAAATATTCGTGTCCTGCTGCTGTTCTCCAAAGCCTCCCATGACCATTTTGCTGGGCTTGTTGCGACCTGCCTTGGAAATGATGTTGTTCTAGAGTTCAAGCGCTTGCCTCCTCACCTGGCGTCTGTGAATGGGGCCCATGCGACCAAGCTCTTCGGCAGTATGCCCTGTCGGCAGCCTCGGCTTGAAGCACAGAGCCACAAAGTGCAAGCATGACGTGACGTTTCTGCCGTATCCTTCGGAGCCAGCACAGGTGCTTCCAATTGATATGAGTGCTCAGCCGAGATCCCCCCTGGGGTGCTGGCTGCTGGGGTCGCGCCATGTCAACAAGCTCCACATACTTCTTCTGGATCTGGCACCCGGGCTTTGATGCAAGAAAGATCTAGATCGCCCCCCCCCTCCCCCAAATCGCCTAGGTGTCCGTACAGGTTTAGGGTTTAGGGTTTCGGGTTTAGGGTATTTTTCGAGCAAGGTCACTACTGCAATTCCGGAGTGCCGTAGCGCTTGCGTCTTCCGAGTGGCCTCCTGGCCCACCTCCCTGGAGTTGCTGTCACGGACGAGGATCCAAGCCTGGATCGATATGCGGCCGAACGTTCAGCTTGGGATGCTCCCCCTTATACTAACAGTCCTCAACAAGAATTATAGTACCCCCATTATAATCCCTAGTACGAACAGTCCTTTGTAGGGATTATAACACCCCCATTGTAATCTCTACGACTAACAGTCCTGAATAAGGATTATAGTACCCCCTATGACAATCCCTGTTAAGGAGCCCTGTTAGTGGGGGAAGATTCGGGTGTGCCGAGAGGCCGTCGTGTTGGCGACCACTACTGCAGGACCATCTCGCCCGAGCGACCTCGGAGACCAGATAGCGAATGGCTGTTTGGCTGCTATTAGGGCTTCAGGGTTTAGGGTTTAGGGTTTAGGGTTAGGGTTTAGGGTTTAGGGTTTAGGGTTTAGGGCTTAGGATTTAGGAAATAGGGGTTTTTTTTTTTGGGTTTAGGGTTTAGGGTCTAGGGTTTAGGGTTTAGGGTTTAGGGTTTAGGGTTTAGGGCTTAGGGCTTAGGGTTTAGGGTTTAGGGTTTGGGGCTTTGAGTGGTCTTGATATGGGGCCACTTTGAATGGCCCAGGTGTGCCGAGCTGCAGCAGCGCGCCGCCACGCCGCACGCTGAGGCTGAAGCCGCGCCGCGTGTTCTTCGAGAACAGCGCCTTCGTAACATTAGGGTTTAGATGGGTTTAGGGTTTAGGGTTTAGGGTTTAGAGATTAGGGTTTAGGGTTTAGGGTTTAGGGTTTAGGGTTAGGGTTTAGGGTTTAGGGTTTAGGGTTTAGGGTTTAGGGTTTAGGGTTTGGGGTTTAGGGTTTAGGGTTTAGGGTTAAGGGTTAAGGGTTTAGGGTTTAGGGTTTAGGGTTTAGGGTTTAGCGTTTACGGTTTAGCGTTCAGGCCGCGCAACGTGAGACGGTACTTCAAGCGTCCGACAGAACACTCCCCTCCTGGAGCAGGGGTGCCAGAGGCCAGCTCGCCGCAGAGAGAAAGCAACTATGACCCTGTATAGGGTATCCTGAAGGCGGCAAGCCTGGATGCTCAAAACTGCCACGCCTGTCTCAACAAAACAAACCCAGAGATGCCACGTTCGCCGGGCCCTACATCCAATCGCAACTGCGAAAACGCTGAAAAATGCTGCAGGGAGTCGGCGATGTCACGGGGTTTGAGGCCGAACTCCTCGACAAGGTGACGGCGCTCCACATGGGCCTTGCTGCAGCTTCAGGGCATCGCACCGCATGAAGAGAGCGCACTAAAAGGAACATCTGAAAATCTGAACAAAGACGAAGCACTGACACTGACTCTACCCGCACCATCAACAACGCCGCCAGCAGAAACGGAAGCCGCAGCACCTATTCTGTGCAACCTTGATTCCTCAAAGCCTCATGTCAATCGGACAACCCAGGCGCATTCAGTTCGATGTCGCCAGACGGCGTGAGCAAAGCTCCAGCATACCTACGTCCAGCGAGGAGCACGCAAACCCTGGGTCATCAAGCATGTATCGAGCACAGTCTCTATGCCTGGAGCTTAGATGCCCAGAGGTAAAACTTCCACTTTCGAGAGCGCTGGCACTGCGGATGTCGGCTGAATGCGTCAGATATATATATATATATACATATGGTACCCCCCCCCCCATATGCCCACACTTTTTCCTCTCAGGTGCCATGGTAGGGTTTAGAGGCTTAGGATTTCGAAGCCTCCGAGGGCAGCGAGCACGAAAGCGCTCTACTGTACCAAAGTTTTAGGCCCAGAAGAGCAAAAACGCTGTACTGTCCCAAAAAAACCAATCTTTTTAAGCAAAAACAAGCAAAAATGCCGTACTGTCCCAAAAAAACCAAAGTTTGGAGACCTCCAGGCCCTGGAGGAGCCCAAGGTCTCCAAACTTTTGTTTTTTTGGTTTTTTTGGGACAGTACAGCATTTTTGCACTTTTTGCCTTAAAAAGATTGGTTTTTTTGGGACAGTACAGCACTTTCGAGGCCTGGGACTGCAAAAACGCTGTACTGTCCCAAAAAAACCAATCTTTTAAGCAAAAACAAGCAAAAATGCCGTACTGGCCCAAAAAAACCAAAAAAACCAAAGTTTGGAGACCTCCAGGCCCTGGAGGAGCCCAAGGTCTCCAAACTTTGGTTTTTTTGGTTTTTTTGGGACAGTACAGCATTTTTGCACTTTTTGCCTTGAAAAGATTGTCTTTTTTTGGGACAGTACAGCACTTTCGAGGCCTGGGACTGCAAAAACGCTGTACTGTCCCAAAAAAACCAATCTTTTTAAGCAAAAACAAGCAAAAATGCCGTACTGTCCCAAAAACACCAAAAAAACCAAAGTTTGGAGACCTCCAGGCCCTGGAGGAGCCCAAGGTCTCCAAACTTTGGTTTTTTTGGTTTTTTTGGGACAGTACAGCATTTTTGCACTTTTTGCCTTGAAAAGATTGGTTTTTTTGGGACAGTACAGCACTTTCGACGCCTGGGACTGCAAAAACGCTGTACTGTCCCAAAAAAACCAAACTCTCTTTAAGCAAAAACAAGCAAAAATGCCGTACTGTCCCAAAAAAAACCAAAAAAAACCAAAGTTTGGAGACCTCCAGGCCCTGGAGGAGCCCAAGGTCTCCAAACTTTGGTTTTTTTGGTTTTTTTGGGACAGTACAGCATTTTTGCACTTTTTGTCTTAAAAAGATTGGTTTTTTTGGGACAGTACAGCACTTTCGAGGCCTGGGACTGCAAAAACGCTGTACTGTCCCAAAAAAAACAATCTTTGTAAGCCAAAACAAGCAAAAATGCCGTACTGTCCCAAAAAAACCAAAAAAACCAAAGTTTGGAGACCTCCAGGCCCTGAAGCAGCCCAAGGTCTCCAAACTTTGGTTTTTTTGGTTTTTTTGGGACAGTACAGCATTTTTGCACTTTTTGCCTTGAAAAGATTGGTTTTTTTGGGACAGTACAGCACTTTCGAGGCCTGGGACTGCAAAAATGCTGTACTGTCCCAAAAAACCAATCTTTTAAGCCGATTCATATTATTTTATACAGGAGTCCGATTGGTTTCTATTCATTTAGCAAGGTTCCTTCTCATTTTAAAAGGATTCCTATGAATTATAACCGGTTCTTTTCAATTTGGTAAGGGTTCCTATTCATTTTCATAGGCTTCCTATTAACTTTCACCGGTTCCGAAAAAATATTGGCAGGATTCCTATGAAGTCAATAGAGGATTCCTATTTATTTCTATAGGATTCCAATAAAGTTTCATAGGGTTCCTAATTCTTTTAATAAGGCTCCTACTAATGTAATCAAATTCCTATCAAGTTTAATCAGATGCTTATTCATGTTAATGGGATTCGTATTTATTTTAATAGGGATCTCATTCGTTTGAAAGGGATACCGATTGGTTTAGGCTCATATTAATTTTAGTAGGATTCCTACTATTTAGGGGTTCACACTTGTTTTTTATAGGAGTCCCATTGGTTCCTATTAATTTTAGTAGGGGCCCTCTTCAGTTTATTAGGATTGCTATCAAGTATAATTCGGTTCTACTTTTTCTAGGGTTCCTATGGATTGAAATAGAGGATTCCTGTTTTTCTGCGTATAAGATCCCAATACATTTCCATAGTTTGCCGAATTATTTTAATAAGGCTCCTACAAATGTATGATTCCTTTCAATTTAGATAGGATTCTGTCATTTGAATAGGGTTCCCATAGAATTTAATAGAATTAAGGGTTCTCATTCCTATTAATGGGTTTCCTTTTCATTTTTATAAGATTCCTATTGAAACAAGATGAATCCTATTGAACCCAATTTAATTTGATAGGAACGCTATTCACATGCATAGGATTTCTATTTAAACTCATAGCATGCAATCCACAATCTCGAGCAAATTGTTCAGGTCACTTCTGCTGGAGTTTTATGGGAGTTCCTCCCCGCTTTAAAAACCACCGCGGGTGGCGGAACGTAGTGTTTTTGTCTGGAAACCATGCTGAAGCGTGGGCGCATGGGGGGGGGGGTAGCATACATATTTATTTATTTATTTACTTACTTATATTTATTCATTTATATTTATTTATTTATTCATTCATTTATTCATGTATATGTCCGGTGTGTCTGCCGTTGGCAAAAATTTCCAGCAAATCGCATTCCAAGTCACGAGCTTGGTCGAAAGACCCGTGGAGGTGGCTTTGCCTGAACCCAATGGCTGTAGGGAGTTTTTTTTCGCCACCCCAACCCTGAAGAGAAGGACACCACAACCGTGAGATAACAGTTATGGGGTCCTCAGTCTGGGGGTTAACCAGAAAGCCCTGATTGGAGGGCAGCCGCCCCTGCTCGGGCGCCTTGGTGACCAGCGGAGTCGGCTGAGCCTCCCGAGGTGCAGAGAAGTCTTCGAAAACCAACCCCTGGCAACCCCCCAAAAAAAAAACCCACCCCCCCTCCTCCCCCCCTCTGTAGAAGCCCCCTTGTTCCCGCAGAAGGCGGGTGCAGCGGGCCTGCCGCCAGACGTGGGCGCTTGCGGACCAGGGCTGGAGCGCGGACATCGCGAGCACCATGGGGGCCGAGCCACGGAAGCGTCACGAGGGGATGTGGAATTCAGGGGTGTGGGTAGATGCTCAGTGAGTGGCTGGGCCCCCGAAGGGTTGGGAGCCGCGTGAGGAGCCGAGTGGCTCGTGCTTTCCCGCTTTGTTCATACACACAGGCCTCCCGAAACATGCAAGGTGACATGCTTGCTAATCCTGATTTCTGCTTCTACCAGGGGCAACTCATGCCTTACACATTTGAGCCATCATGTCTTCCTGGGCACGGAGCTCACGGGGCCCATCGGCTCGAGGATCAAATGCGCACTATACATATGAACATGTACATATATTTATATGTGCTTTTTATGTATTTATGTATTTGTTTTTTGTTTATTTGCTTAACGGTGGCTTAACGCTAGCCATCTATATATACAAAGACACATACATCCTGCCTGTACTCATGCATCTGTGCAGGTCGCTATGATACATCTTGGCGCTGCAAGCAGCTAGCCAGCTAGCCTGGGCCTGAATCCACAAAGCTCAAACTCCAGACGAAAGAACATAGCTCGGGAAGACACGAACCGTCAGTCTAGGGAATCAATGAGGTCCAACACTGGCCAAAGAGCAGCCCTCTCCAGCAGTCTCCAAGCAGCTACGACCCACCTCCGTCAGGGACTCTTTGTTGCCCAGCTGATCGGCGAAGGTGAGCTTGTGGCTGCTAGTCTGAGAGCACGAGCAGGAGTCGGTATTATGCGTGTGGTGAGTGTCTGTCGTGTCGCTGAACGACAGCTTTGCTGCGGGATGTTTCAGAAGCCTTGGACCTCTGTTTTGGAACGTGAGGGCACAACACTCCCGTGGACCCCTCGATATGGCTTGGCAGCCACAAAAAACTCTGCGTTTCCACGCTCTGCTCGCAGCAGCACATCACATGGCGAGCGGCCCCTGAAATTCATCGCTCTTGAATCCTTCAACCGGTTGTTCGCTCAAAGCCTCCTCTCATTCTGGTCCGATCCCCCATTCTCCCTGGCCCGGCCTGGCCCTTCTTGATCACGTTGCCCTTCCTATCCTTTCGAGTGCCTCAGGCTCAAAGAGCTCGTCATCGCAGCCAATGCCGAAATCACAGCAGTCGCTCAGCCATTTCGGGGCCCGGGCCGTTTGGGGAAGTCCCCGACAGAGCAGACTTCACAGACCTCAGATAGCCCCGCGAGAGAGGGTAGAAGCGCCGGCAACAGAGCAGCAAAAGCAGCGCCCCATACGATGCACAAGCAGAGAAACCCCAAAAACACCCCAAAGAACCCTCGAGAACCCCCGTACGCCGCAAACAACCCTTAAGAGCCCCCCAGAGCCCGACGCAACCCTTATACCAAACAACCCCCCCTTACCCTCAAATCCTTGAACCGAACTTCCACACGAAAAGCAAAAGGGGGAGGCGGGTCCGATTCGAGGCTCCCGGCTGCGCCGAGGTGCTGATCACGCCTCCAAGGGCTTGAGAAGGGACTCTTCTTGCGATCTTTTTGGGGTCTCTTTGGGATCTTTTATGGGGGTTTTTGGGATGCGTTTTAAGAAGATCCGAAGAGGCCCTTAAGATTACGAAGGGGAAGCCCTGACAGCGCGTGCCTTCTGACCTCGCACCCACAGAGGCCACGCCTTGCGAGAGTGCCTTGGGGCAGCAGCGCGCTTTTTTCGGTTACGGTTTTCCGTTGCTGCACTTTTTTGGGTCAAGGCCCACCTTGTGGCAAGAGACAGAATTGGGGGGGGTGAAAAGCAAGAGCAGCACCTACACAGGAACAGGAGAGCAGCTTTTCTTAGGCACTCCATGACTGACTTGAATAACTCTCTGATATCTGCCGAGGTGCCCCGAAGGACTTCTCCCGGGGTGGTCCTCCGGGCGACTGCGGGGACTGCGGGGAGCCCGGCTCGGGTGGCGAGGGCGCACCTGAGTGACTTTGGGGTGGCTTGGGATGCCGTGGGCCAGTTTGGGGTGGGGAGCTCGGGAATTTCCGAATGCTGGGGAACTTAGGAGTTTTATGAAGCGAAGCAGAGTGCAACTTTGCTCTTCAAGGCGCTCTTTTGTTTCGGGGGGGAAGCTCCTCATGGGGGCACAAAGGGCATGCTGAGTCTCCGTGCCATACTTGGCGTGGGCGCTCATCCTTGCCTCGGTCTTACACCGGCTCTTGGGGGGGAAAAGCGTCTCAGCTTCCGATGAACCCAAGCAAAGAAGGAGCGAGAGAAAGAGCGCTCTTCGAAAGAAGGGAGGCCCCCTCGTCAGCGCACCGAGACAAATTCTGGGCCCCGGGCTCCGTGGTATCTTTCAGCCGGCCCAAAATCGGACGAGGCCTCGTGCCTTTGTGGTTCCTCGAGACCCTGAAACCAGAAGCTGGTAGGGCCTTAAGCATGCTGTCGTAACATGTGAGCTAGTTGTGTTGGGAAGATGTGTCAACATATGGACTGTCTGAGCCATGAAATCCATGCTGAGCTCTAGAACTTCTTGGAGGTATCTTGTTGCCGAAGGCTGGAAAAACCAAACTCTGAGGAACCAACGGCACAAGGATTCTCGAAAAGACTTGAACCCTTTGTGGCGCCTAGGGATCTGTCTAGGTCCGCCAGGTCCTATTTGAGCAAGGCCGGCGGGTGAAGGCTGCAGAAGCACTGAACCGGACACCAGTCAGCAGTTCAGGACTCCAGACTAGGTACGTTGATGCTAGAAGCTGCTAGAAGCTCACCAAGCTCGAGAAGCCCAAGATGCAAAGGAGAACAATGCCCCGCCCACATGAATTGCCTTCCGCGCATGACTTTTCTACCCGAGGCAGATGATATGCATTTTTCAAACGGAATACATACACGCGCAATCCGACGTCGAATACGACCAGATTGCACCTCAACTGAGTCAAAAAAAGCCCGTGCACGCGAGGCAAATCAATCTTGAAAGTTGCATGCTACGTGGCTTTCAGCCTCAGTCTATTAACTTCTTCCGCCCGAGCCATTCCCGGAACCGTCGCCTGCTCGTAAAGAGAGCAGGCACATCTTCCAAGGGCAAGCCCTTTGTCTCGTGCACACACGCGAGTACGAAGACGAAGTTCGCCAGGTTGAAGAACCCGAAGAACATCATAGTTCCCTCAATGCCGAGGGAGCCGAGAATGATCGGAACCAAGTACAGAAGAACCGCATTGGCTCCATACTGCGTGAACACTGCAAGAGACACAGCGCGATCACGCTCAGATGTGCTGAAGATCTCCGAAGGGTACAGCCATGGTATCATCCCCCAAGCCATCTGCCAAATGGTCGCAAAAGCGCAGACCATAATCAGGATTAGGGTATGATTCCAACTGAACTTGATGCCAACGCCGGTGCAAACAAGCAAAGGTCCGATGATCGACGTGACGTTCAAGAGCTGGCTGCGTCGGCCACCGTAGTCTGAGTCGAGCAAGAACAAGCCGCAGACCATACCAAAGACCATGAAGCAATTGAAGATGAGGTTGGTCATCAGCGGGTCCTCGAAGCCCATCTCTCTGAACAAAGTACCCGAGTACATGATGATGGTGTTCATTCCGGTGAACTGCTGTGCGATTTGCATCCAGCATGAAATGAAGACACGCTTGCGAAGATTCCTCCGCGTGAACAGCGCGCGATAGCGGACTTGACCCGCGGCCTCTTCCTCCTCGATTTCTTGATACATGTCACGAGCTTCTTTGGTGACGTCGCCATTGCGAACCTTCTCCAACTGTTCGACACCCGCTTCGTAACCTTCTTCTGCCATGACAAACCTAGGGGACTCAGGAGTGAGCCAAATTGAGAGCATCACGATGATGGCCGCGAAACCTGGGAGCATCATACCGATTTTCCAATCATTGCAGAAGGCCGTGAGAATCGAAGCGAGCAATCCTCCCAACGCAACAAACAACTGGAAGAGGGATCCAGTGGTACCACGAATGCAGGGGGCGCTCACTTCTGCGTTGTACATCGGAAGCGCGAAGCAGCACAAGCCAATGCCCATGCCAGTCACAAGGCGCCCTATGAAAAAGATGGGCACGCTGTCAAAGGACACATACGAGGTCATAGCGCATCCAACGACGGTAATCGCAGCACCAAGCGATATGCAAGGACGGCGACCCTTGTTCTTTGTGATCGGCGGCCCAAACAGAACAGCACCGAACGCGGCCCCCAAGAAGACCAGCAGGTTCGCCCACGAAACAAAATTGTCAAGCCACTGGTGGTTTTTCGAGGCACCAAAATTCTCGTCGTGGCTACACGTAAGGTTGTTCCCATACTTGCCCACGCACCAAGCGCCCTCAAATGTCTCGAAATCCACCACTGCTCCAAAGTTCGTCGTGTCAATTCCGAACATGATGGCTCCGAACATGGCCGTCACGATGGCAACGTACATCGTTCCATTGGGTCGCACCTTGGAATGAAAAATTCTTAGCTGCCTTTTTTAAGAAACCCAATAAACCCAAAAAAGGCTAAGGATCTAAAGTTACTATAAAAGCACCACAAAGGCGCCTGCGCCGCATCTGTGCGAATGGCCTCGACACTTTCCTCGATCTCGGTCTCGTCGCTATCGACTTCGCTGTCAGTGTCCCGCAACATGGCTCCGCAACGCGCTCGCGGGGCAGACCAGTCTTTGCCAGTCTTTACTGCAAATCTCAAGACGACGGCACACTGAGCCTTGGACCCAAAAATTGCCACATCCGTAACGGAATACCGCCAAACGTCCGCTAGACAAGCATTCTCAGTGAGACTGTTCCTAGGTGCGTGTGTCGAGACTTGTGTGTTGTCTGCTGCTTACTAAGCGCCTCTTCGGAACCGTGTCTTGCTTCTTTGTCATGCACGCCAAAACTCGTGGTGCTGCCTGTCCTCATAAAGCAACACAACGCAACCATGAACTCAATAATAGTCATGCCAAAAATCGTGCAAAAGCCAGCAACATCCATGCAAAAATCAAGCAAACATGCCAACAAATCGCGTCCCAATGTCCGCCCGCGGTGGTTCTCTGCCGTCTGTCCCTTGTTGAAGATATCAAATATTCTCACATTCTCTCAAGATGCATTGAGTGCTTTTCATATTCGCTACACTGACAGGGGACGCCCGGACTTTTCCGCTCCCAGAGGCCCGCGAGGACGTCTCCAGCTTTGCCTGCACGGCCCGCGCTCGCCGAAGGCCTGGATGGAACACATGCCGCAGCAAAAGAGTCAAAAAACATTCTCACAGAGCATAAAGAATGAACATGTTGAAACACCTCTCAACCCTCCGTGTGCTAAGCAGATCACCTGTTGAAGTCGGAGGTGGGGAGCGCGGCCATGATGCGAGAAGCGATGTTGCGGTTGCCTCAAGCAGACTCTCGCCATCACCGCCTGTTGCTGCTGTTCATCTCACGCAGATCATGGCACGAGATACCTTTTAACGATTCCAGCCCCCAAATGTTGAATCTTGAAGGTTCACAAAGCTGTAGGCCCTCAACTCTGCCTTGCAAGAGCAAGGCTTTTCACATGGATATCTCCGGTGCGTGGGCCTCGGAGTCTCATGCCTTCAGGACGATGAAGTGCCAGCAGTGACAACCTCAAGTGCAGGGAATGATCCGCGGATTTCTGCCAGGCCGAGGCCCTTCAGCTCCAACGATCTGGCAAACACTTTCAGTCATCTGGCTCACCTCGAGCGTCGAGCGCTATGATAAGGTCATGGATCTAATGACTCGTGCTGCCCATGCTGCCCTCACCCTGCGCTCAGGTTATAACCCATCTACCAGCCATGAAGAGGAGGGCTGGCTGGCTATGCTGCGTCAAGTACAGGGACCTCTCCGGCCAGACACGTCTGCAGGAGGGATCACAAGGTCATGCCCCCACACACTCCCACACACTCCACACTTCACCACATGCCACCATCGCACACCACCACACATCACCATCACCTCCACCACCACACTTCACCACACGGCACCACACACGAACACACACACACACACACACACACACACACACACACACACACACACCCACGCCCACGCCCACGCCCACGCCCACGCCCACGCACACCCACACCCACACCCACACCCACACCCACACCCACACCCACACCCACACCCACACACACACACCCACACCCACACCCACACCCACACCCACACACACACACACACACACACACACACACACACACACACACACACACACACACACACCACGCGCCACTACGCGCCGCCACGCACCACCACCCACGCATCGCTGCACCCCACACCCACACTCCACACTCCTGCCACACACACATTCAGGAAACACCACCACACACCACCTGTGCAGCTGTTTTGCAAATTGGTGTAGGAAAAAACCCAAACGACCGCGGACTCATCGCCACCCCCGAACCCCAAAAGATTGATACGTTTGAAGAACGTGGCCCCTTCAATTTTTTTAAGGAGCTCCACATGAATGCAAACACAGCCGACATCGCCCACCTCATTCCAGAACCACGTCATCGCCACGCACGGCCTCATTGCACGCAGTCTGATTGGTAGGCGTGCCAGAAAGTCGGCGTCAAGTGGACGCAAGAAGGGGTGACTGAGACGTGGACAGGATCACAGCACCAGCTGTAGAATCCACATGTCAATAAATTTGTCGTGTCTTTGACCTGCGCCCCACTGTAAACCGCAACAACCCTTGTGAGGCAACGGAGCAAGCTGCTCTCAGGAGACAGCCCAGGACCAACAGGCGCTTCGAACAGCCTGCACCTCATCCAAACATATCGAAACATTGAGCGTTCTCGGCCTCAGGGTGGAATTCGCCAGGCTTCCACCAAGCCGAGGACCGAGCTCGCCCTATCACGTGGGCCTCAAAATACAAACGCACAAGCCGCTACAGCCTGCACCTCATTCAAACATATCGAGACAATGAGCGTTCTCGGACTCAGGGTGCGCCGAGGACCGAGCTCGCATTCTCATGGTGGCGTCAAAACGCAAACGCACACGACCTATCGCTGGCAGTCGGATCCCTTGGCGGCTGCAGACAGCTGCAACAAGCAAGCGCACCAAGCACAGAACAAGGGGGATTGCGATGCGGACCAGGGCGCTGGAGCTGCGGACGGACAACGCATGCGAAACTTTTTGCTTCAGGCTTTCAACGCGCTCGGCCGCTTCTGTGACTTTCTTGACTTACCTTCTTGGAGGCAAGGGCAACAGAAGGCATCGACACGAGTCAAACTCTTGGGACTCAAGCTTCGCCTCATTGAGATGTGAGGACATGCGAATTTCACGCTGAGCAACGATGTGTGGGAAAACGGAGAGCAAAAAACAGAGAACCCTTTTGCACTGCTATTCCTCCACCAAGCTCGGTGCCTCAGCTTCTGCGCAATTTCAGGTGGCCTCTTCACTGTTAAACCCTGAACGTGGCCCGCCAGGTGCTCACAGGTGGAACTGGCCGTGCATTCGTAGGTGGGCGTGCGCAGATATCCGGGAATCAAGATGGCATCCAGATTTCTTCGTCGAAGATCCTGGGAAGGTGGGACAAGACAAGGCCTTCGGAATCTTTTGGCGTTTTGGGCCTTCTAACATGACGCAAGAGGACAGCCCTTGCCGGCCACCTCTTTTTCTCCCCAGCCCAGGAATTCTTGGGGGGCTCCGACTAATCAGCAGCAAGGATTAGCCCAGAGCCCCCAACCCTAAGCCCGAACGAGATTCCAACACGCCGCCTGGGCCGGCAGATATACTGTATATAAGAATATGTAACACGCTAACTTTGAACTATTTACATTTCTGTAGTCATTCATTCATGCGTCGTTCGTTCGTTCGTTTAATCATTTGTCCATGTTGATTCGTTTATCTGATTGTTGTTGCTTATGTATTCATGTATTTGTTCGTTTAATATGTTGCATTCTCTGATTTGTTCGATCATTTGCTAAATTACTTGTGTTTATCTGTAGAATATGTGTGTAAATATGGAGATGTATAGGTTATAGATACAGATAGAGGTATCGATATACAGGACCCTGAGGCGCTGAAATCCCGAAAGATTTGCAGGGCGTACGGTGGCATGGTGTCGGGGTTTAGAGCGTCTAGTTTATGTAAACAAAATCTAAAAGGCAAAAACACACTGTTGAATTTCTCTTGTGGCAGTACATGAGCTCGGATAATTTTAATCAACACAATACAACATCTTGTCTCAAACTAAGCTTCCCGACAAGCAAAACATGGCATGTCATATGGTTACCTATACACCCATCTCCCCCCCCCCCCCCCCCCCCCCCCCCCCCCCCCCCCCAACCCCCGATAAGCTAAACTTGAACTTGAGCTATTTCGGTCACGTTCTGAAGAAGATTATCTTGGATCCAGGTACCCCCCACCCCCGCCACCCCGATAAGCAGCGCGGAACTTGACAAGAATAGCATTGAATACAGATTGTATTTGCTATGCTGTACTGAATACAATGAGCATACTACAATGGCTTTGATGCCCTTGATAATTGTAGGAGGTGTGTTTTATCCAATGTCGTGCTGTCTTGGGCCTCCCTCCGAATATGCAGCGCAGATCCTGACAAGTTCAACTGACTATAAATAGTATAACTATACTCGTTAGTTATAAGCAATACCAGTGGCACAATGTACACAATGAATACATCGGATCTATCAAATACAATGAATAGAACGTGTATAACGAAACTAAATGTTAAACTGGGTACTAGAACGCATGTAGGGAATGAACACAATGGATATAGTGGCTTTTCTTTTTTGCTGGATATAATGAACATAATGTGATGAGCTTAATGCCTTGTATTAATTTCAATGGGTGTATTATCACATTAATTCGATTGCCGATCTTCGAAATATACTTTTTATACAAAAAATGGCATAAATTAATCATGTCTGAAGTTTTCTCAGGTCATAAGGTCAAAAAGAATACTGATTCTAGTGCCTATACGGAACTTCATGAACATAATGGGCTTCGCGCCTTTTGTGAATGCCAATGGTTACGTTAGCAACATTTCTACATTTCTTGTTCAATTTACATTGTCTTAGAGAAATTCAGTTTTTTGTTGCACTTAAAGTTGTACTATTCTCCTCGTGATATTCCTGCATCAGTGGTACCGACTATACTAAATATATAAATTCTGCTAGTTATATGAGTCACATAGATATCCATTAAGTCTAGCTATGATAGCTCTTTTAACTATAAATTTGTTTAGTTAATAAAAATGTTGTTGGTTTAGTCCATTAGAAAGGCTTTAAAGAGATTCTTTATATTCGCCATTTTAGATGCAAAAAAACACATGAAGAAAATGCCTCAAGTTTAATCATAAGTTTTTAGGAAAAGGTCCGTCAAACGGTTCTCCTTGAGCCAGACAAGAATGGTCGACTACTTCACAGACGCACATAAAGGCACTGCTAGTCTTAAAATGGCCTGGGGCAGGTCGAAAATCGAAAATCTGAAAAGTCTATTTTTTGCCGCCTCTGCCGCGGTTTTCAGGTTAGGCGTGCGTCATGGGGGGGGCGACAATGTGTATATATATATATATGTGTATATGTGCTAACCGTATACAAATACACATATATGTGTAATATGTTTATTTACTTGTTTCTGTGTTTATTTCTAAACATAAAACCAATAGAAAAAAGTTGGAATCGATGTATGACACATACATCCTGCCCGTACTCCCGCATCTGCGCAGTTCGGGAGGCGGTCCTGGAGGAAGGTGAAGACTTCTTTCCGGCTCTTGGGGGCATCGCCTCAGCCCCGATGAAGCGAGAGCTCTACAAAGTAACCTAAGAGCCCCCTTTGCATGTTTCTCCTCTTGAAAAGAAGGAAGGCCCCTCTTCCGCGCCGAGACAACCTCTGGGCCCCGGGCTAGGTGGTATCTTTCAGCCAGCCCAAATCGGACGAGGCCTCGTGCCTGGTGGTTCCTCGAGACCCTGAAACCAGTAGCTGGTAGGGCCTTGAAATCCATGCTTTGTTGGAGGTACCTTCAACTCGAAAAACCAAACTCTGAGGAACCAACAGTTCTTGGAAAGATTTGAACCCTTTGTGGCGCCTAGGGATCCGTCTAGGTCCGCCAGGTCCTTTCGAGCAAAGCCTGCAACCTGAGCACTACATTCGCAGGCGCGACGTCTGAAGGCTGTAGAAGCACTGAACCCCTTCAGACTGGACGCGTTGATGCCAGAAGCTCATGAAGCTCATGAAGCTCAAGAAGCCCACAGCAAGGTCCGGAGCTTTGGGTTAAGTAACAGAGTCCCCCCCATAAGAGCCTCGCGTGATGTCAGCCTTCACCGCTTCAACACACTTTCATTCTTGCATACAACAGACCCTGCGGTGGTTCGCTGCCGTCTTTCCCTGCTTTGAAGACATCTCAAATATTCACAAAATGTCTCAAGATGCATTGAGTACGTTTCATACAGTATTCGCTACACTGACAGGGGAGACGCACGGACTTTTCCGCCTTTCAAAGGCCCGCGGGGATGTCTCCAGCTTTGCCCGCAGGGCCCGGCTCACTGAAGGCCTGGATCGAAGCAGACGACGAAAGAATGATTTCTGAGACTCCTGCCGCAGTAACAGAGGCAAAAAAGCATTCTCACAGAGCATTAGAGAATGAACATGTTGAACCACCTCCCCACCCTCCATGTGCTAAGCAGATCACCTTTGGAGGAAGCCGAAGTCGGAGGTGGGGAACGGGGCCATGATGAGAAGCGATGTCGCGCTTGCCTCACTCTCGCCATCAGCGCCTATTGCTGCTGTTCATCTCATGTACATCGCTGACCAGATCATGGCACAGGATGACTTACGGTTCCAAACCCCCAACTATTGAACATTGGAGCGCGGGGTTTCCCAAAGTTTCAGGCCCTCAAGTCTGGATATCTCTGGTGCTTGAGCCTCCAGAATCTTATGACGGCCGAAGACGAAACAGCTCAGGCCTTCAGGACGATGAAGCAGGTGCCAGCATTGCCAACCTCAAGTGCAAGGAAGTATCAGCGGATCCCTGCCAGGCCCTCAGAGGCCCTTAAAACTCCCACGATCTGGCAAACATTTTCAGTGGCTCGCCGCCCCATGCTGCCCTCACCTCTGCGCTCAGGCTAGAAGCAATCTACCAGCCGCCAAGAAGAGCAGGGCTGGCTGGCCAAGCTGCATCAATTACAGGGACCTGTCCGGGCAGACGTGTCTGTGGGAGGGATCACCAGGTCATGCTGCCTTGGTGAGGTCATTTTCATACTTGTTTGCTATTATATCTTGGGTAACCCTCGATATGCTTAAGATGGGTTTTGGGTGTTACGTATAGCACAAAGGGCACTTCTGGGAGACGTCTACCCGTAGCGCAAAGGGCGCGTAACAATCTCCTCTCTTTGTCTGGCACAATGATCAAGAATGCGCGTCGTTATGATAGGTCGAACCAGACATGCAATCCACATCCACGCATCACTTCCGCAGAACAAGAAGTTTGTACATGTTCCAAGTCAGTTGCCTTAACTATTTGATGCACAAATTTGCTAAAATGCAACGAAGGTTTGGCATTTCAATTTCTAGGGCATTAAAACGCTTAAAGTTCAGTTTCTAAGTTAGTATTACGGTTCATGTTCAAGAACCACTGTCAGATGCACTCCTTAGATTTTGACCGCCCTTGTCAGTTGCTTTAGGTACCAGTCGCCAGTCGATGATGCTCTTCACGATAAGCTGAAATTGTCTTTAAGCTGCGCTTAAACTCAGCTTATGTTGCGCACCAAATAACGGTTAGCAACGGTTATTGTGCCCCGTGCATGGCCAAAAGCCCATAACGGTTACTGACGGATAGCAACTTCTATTGGCAAAATACAAAACGCAACCGTTGCGACTTGTATTTTCGCACACAACTGAGCCCCCCTGGCTACTTCTCCCTTTTGCACAACATATTGGTGATGCTCTCGTGACGCATCGACCTATGTTGCTAGTCCTCGTCACCTGCTCCCCTTGTTGCTGAGTGTCTTTCAACAGACCAGAACATGCAAGGACAGACACCCACCACCAGATACTCCGAAAACCCAGTATCAACTTAACCCAAGCATTTTGCAAACAGAAACTCAGAGCCAATCGACGGCTTTTCGGTTGTCTTTCATGGGGGATGTCAGCGGCAACAGCAGCAACGGGGTCTCTTAAAATGTTACAAGCACCTGTCATTTATGCGATCGTTTACGCAAGGATTTGCGTCAACTGTTACGTGCATTTTTCGGGATTGACGTTGGACCCTGTTTAAAGAGGCCAATGCTTGAACCAAACCGGAGCCATGAAGAGCCATCAGGCCTGCGCGGTAGCGAGCTTGGTCTGCAGCAGTTGGCATGTAATCCTTCCACACGAGCTTGGAGTGATTGGCAGCCCGGAGTCCTGAGCCAAGTCATGCACGTGCTCTGCGGAATACGGCGAGCAGGTACGGAATGACTCAGCGGAGGCTCGGCCAATCCAAATCTGGCGCTGCGCCTTCACAGGTGCCATAGAAAAAGCAATTGTGTTGCGGCTTTTTTCTGGCTCTCTCACAGTAGTCAGCACAACTCTTGAAGAGCTCAGATCAGATCACCTCTCGCTTGGGGGCTACAGTGGCTGCAGCGGTTACAGAGAATGCCAACTCTGAGTCGCTCTTAACACAGTCTTTGCTGTAGTAGGCTCTCAGCTCCCACCGCAGATCGGCATTGAATGGCATTGAAAGTGTCTCACTCTCGCTGGCGTATGCCTCTAGTCCTTCGCGTGCTTGCGACAGCAACGGCAGCACTGCAGGAGTCGGAGAAGTGTCCTGGCTGCTCAGCAGCTCAGTCTTGCAGCAACCGTGCCAAGCTATCCACTAAGACCCACTGAGGGAAGGTTCCACGGTTCTTCCGAGCAAGATGTCAGCTCCAACTTTCCGAGGGGTCTTCAAAGAAAGAAGCAGTACAAATGCAACAGATGAACATAGAATATGGAGCTTTCCGAAAGTCATGCAAGATTTGCCTCGGCCCAGGGCAAACTCCCCCCCTTTCAAGGGACCCCGAGTGAGGCCCCAGTGACATCCTCCTGAGCACTAGCACGGCAAGACAAGTGACGATGTCTGTCGAAATCTGACTAGAATGGTCAAGCCGAGAAATTGCAAATCCCACATTGGAGAACTGCCCACGTAAATCTGCCGGCCTTCCCCTCTTCCCATTCCAGACACTCCACCCACCCCCCCCTCCTGTAGGAGCTGCAGCAGGCCCTTAGACATCCTTGGAACGATTCTTTTACCCAAGCTTCAAGCCCACAAGCACCCTACCCAAGCTGAACATGGCAACAAACACACGAAAACGGACGACACGTGGGCCGAAGGTTTTTGCACGGCCTGCTGACACTGCAAGCCTTTTGCTGCTAAGCAAGGCAAGCATGTCTCGTTGCCGGCCCGGCTGCTGAGGCGGCGTGTGCGTTTAGAACTCCAGACGCGATAGTGCAAAATCGCGAGACATGAGACATGCTGTCCAAGATATCCTCTTCAATGGAGAACAGCAGAGAGGCAGAAGAAAGCTCAGCAGCAACGACCTCAGAAGTTCATTGAACGGGAGTAAGGAGCAAAGAATAGGACACGCGCCACCCATTCGGTTCATGCAGGGCACCCATCACAAGCCACAAAGACGATGCACCTCTGCAGGAAATACTGGGGATGTGCCCGCACAGTGCGTGCTTGGACGGTGTGCGTTTCGCTCACAACTCGCTTTAGGATCCTCCTGGCGTTCACCCCACTTTCCAGGAAACATCAACCCTAAACCCTAAACCCTAAACCCTAAACCCTAACCCCAAACCCTAAACGGTTGACGCCAAGTTGCACGAAGCTATGCGGCCAAACCGGTACCTGAGCGTGAAAGAGGTCCAAGACCTCCACCCTGGGATCACGCATGAAAGCCTTCCCGAAAGGCAGGGGAGAAGATTTCGGTGATGCCCCCCAGACACAGTCCCCAATTTCTAGTGAATGCACCTCGAGACTTGAAGCCAGGCTGCACGCTGCAGGAAGAAGCCAGGTGCGCGCCAGTGCCACACCTCCCCGCCTCTGAGTTTGGGAAACAACTCCCCCCCGGCCCTAAACCCTAAACCCTAAACCCTAAACCCTAAACCCTAAACCCTAAACCCTAAACCCTAAACCCTAAACCCTAAACCCTAAACTCAAGCCCAAAACAACCCCCCCCCCTTGTTCCTTCCAGGAGTTGCGGATGCCGAGTTGTGGCCTAGAGTTGGTTCGGAGATGTTCTTTCCGTGGATTCCACATGAGTTTCCTCCAGAAAACCGAGTTCACTCTAGTCGTATCCCGTGGTGCTTCTGGTGCAGCCAGGAGCACAAGCAGAGGGCTTCTGTGTAGGGCCAGGAAGCCTCAGCTCAACTTGGCCAACTTCAGCACCACATCCCTCACAAACTAGCACAAAGTAGTGCCGAGGCGTGTTTAGGTGGGGGTCTACATGGCTCCTTTGTCTTGGGACTTTGTCTTGGGGCTTTGTGGGAACCGGGGCATCTGGGCGCAAAACTGCAGGACGGCACAGACGGCCTCGAAGACTGCATCGGCCTGGACGCATCGTTGGCAGAGAAGGTGAGAAGCTACGAAAACTCGAGAAGCCCCTGACAGAACAGTAAGGAGACTTCCAAGAGGGGACGATTGGATAAACAAGGATGCCGGCCTCGGGCATTCCGCCAAAGGCCCAGCCGGCAATGCGCACGGCGAAGTCGGGCGATTCGCCTTCGGGGCGGCCGTGAGACGGTGAGACCAGGCTTCGGGCCCAGAGCAGAGGATCTCGTGAAGCGCGGATGAAGGAACTTGGAAGCTTCAAAAACAGGGCAGCTGCGGTGGAGTCTAGAAAAGAGTCTAGAAAAGAGCCCGCCCGTCCCACCCAAAGCTACGCGAGCTACTCGCCTGCCCCCCCCCCCTAAACCCTAAAGCCTAAACCCTAGCCCTGGTGCTCCGCTTCTCCCCTCGCCTCGAAGTCCCATGGGCCACGGACGCGGCTTGCTGGCCTGAAGAAATTCGAGACGAACGAAAATATCACCTGGTGAAATCTCTAAATTAGGGTCCCTTTTTGGGGTGCCCTACATAAGAGGGCCGCCTTAGAATAAGAACCCCACAAAGGGACCATAATTTGGAGAAGCCACCATCTCAGTACTTCGAACCCTTGATGCATGCACCTCCGGTTCATGATCACTCGGTGGGCACTCGGAGGAACTCGGATCAGCCTCCGTCAAGATGAAGGCGGTGAAGTTGCCCGGTCCGCAACCTCGAGAGCGCCGGAAAAGTGCAGACAACTCGGAGAAGCTCCGTGATAAGCCCTGCAGGCGGTTGAAAATGACGGCAAAAACTCTTGAGGGAACTGGAGCCACTCAGGAAGTCTCGGGCGGCCAGGCCTAGGGCGCCAAACGCATGGAGTCGCCGAGCACACACCGCCTGCTCGCGGCCCCAAAGCACCGAAAAATGCATGACAAAGTAGAGGCAATGCGCCACGATTCGTGGACTGACTGTGGGGGACGGGGTCATCACATGAGCAGCAATCCGCACACCACGAATGCTTGTAGATACTTGCGGCATGCCTATGATTCGCCCAGATCGCTTCATCTGTTGAAACTGCCGATGTTGCTGCGCAAGAAGGATGGGCAGGCGAGCTGTATGTATAGGCCAACGGACCGCACTACTTTGCCGAAGCTTGTTTTGAGCATTCGTTGCCTAAGCTCGCGTGCCCCATCATAGGTTCCTTGCCGAAACAAGAGCTACCGTAACACATGCCGAAAGGGGTGCTTCTTTGGCGTGATGATGATGATGATGATGATGATGATGATGATGATGATGATGATTTCGGAAGGCCTCCCCATCAGACTCCTCGCAGGCAAGAAACCGCTCGAGGTACTCCCAACGCATCTCCTGCCCCAAGCGCAGGAAAAGAAGGCACTCTTCGCGGGCGGGCTCTCTCGCATGACCCAGCGCATCCCGCGCACCCCGCAGCTGCGTAAAACTCTCGAGGCTGCACAGAGTGACTCCCACATCCAAAACCTCCAACTCTCGACATCTCCCCCCTCCGTGAAGAGAGTGCGCGCTGTGCCTGCGTGATGTCGGCTTCCTGGACGCAGCGAAGGTGCGCCGCCTGGAAAAGTTCTCAGAGCAGCCCTCTCCTGTCAAAAAGTCTGGCTTTTGCTCTACGCCCTTGTTGAAAGCCCTTCTACCCTGCCCCCTCTCAAGCCTGAAAGGGCCCCTTTTTAAGGCCCCAAGCCGATGCTGCGCACTTCGCCTCCTCCAGCAAGGCCGGCGCTGAGCCCGAGGCCTCGGAGTGGTCTCGGCTGGCGTAAGGGTTTAGGGTTTAGGGCTTTAGGGCTTTAGGGCTTTAGGGCTTTAGGGCTTTAGGGCTTTAGGGCTTTAGGGCTTTAGGGTTTATGGTTTCGGGTTTAGGATTTTCGGGTTTAGGGTGATGTCGTCCCTATCACAAGATGAGAATGTGAGACATCCCCAATGCATGCCGGGCGCGGCGCGTTGCCGGAGGCCATGCACACGAAGCCCCCTGCATGGAAGTCGCTCAACGCAGATCCTCGCCACGAATGTCGAAGCTTTTTGGATGTCTCACGTTCATGTGCTGGGGCTCCCGTGTCACTTCGCTACAGGAGCTCTTTCGGTCTGAGGCAAGTAATTAGCCCCCAATCGCACGCACACAATACACACACACACAAAAAAAAAACACACACACACACACAAAAAAAAAAAAACACACACACACACACACACGACCTAATGACCTAATGGTTGTCCACGTTCCTGGAACCTCTCCAGAACATATTGAACTTTCGTGGTGGACTGCACTTGCCCAGAAGTGACAAAGAGCCCAATGGTCCAGTCTTCCCCCACTTTCCCAAAAGGCCTCGGATGCAGAACTCATCGTTCTTGGTCTCCGCCCTCCAGGGATTGGCCACTCTGAGTCTAGCGGTTTCACTCGTTTGCGCGGCGCGCTCAAGCAGGAGCCTGTAATTATCGGGGATGTTCTATAGCTCCTCGAAACACTCAACGAACGGGTCTGGAGTGGTAGGAGTCAGAATGGGGCGCAAGCCAGGATCATATGACAACACATGCCAACACCCGCTACCCCCACACGCTGCTGGAAGGTGTCAGAAATTGAAAGTTCTTTGCTGAAACCGGTAAGTCACAAGGTGGCCTGCCCTTTGAGAACTAACCTCCCAATTATTCACCATTTTCTGGCCCCATCTGCTTCTTTCAGCAATGCTGATTCTAAACAATGACATGTCTGCGCAAAAACTAGAGTCCTCCAACTCACCGGCCAGTGAATCTGCCACGCAAGGTGCTGCCTGCTAGCATAAGAGGAAGGAGTACAGCAAGCTGCGGACTCCAAGTGCTTAACTAACACCGACACTCAGACGCCATCAAGCATCCTGTATTTATATGCTGCCCTCGGGCATGCCAACCTCCCAAGAACTCAACCAACAAAAGCAAGGACCAAATCGATGAATACGGTGCGGTCTATGCTTTAGATCTGTATGAATATATATATATATATACATACATATATATATATATATGTATCTGGTCACCCCCCCCCCCATGATGCATTTGTGTGTCCTTTTTCTTGCTTGCCGTTCTGCACCTGTGCTTACTTACACCTCTAGTTGAAGTGAAAAAACACCGGTATTTGCGATACTTTCTTGTCTTGCCATGTCTGAAGCTACAACTTGTTATTCATTACATATAGTCTTAAACAACAGAAATCTACAAACAGAATCCGTTTGTGGATTTGGTTTCGTGCGGTTTGCACATCTCTGTCATTCGCTCTATAAGAACTAAAAATATACACCTTCTTGAACTTCAACATTATTCATTAATTGAAAAAACACCCTATAAACCATTTTATAATGATGCACAAACATAACAGAAGAAGTGAAGGGGTTGTATATGAAGAACCTAACACAAGAACCAGACTACATATTGCAGTTAGAGACAAAGTAGCGGGGACAGAGACATTCTTAACGGACACGCAAGGACTCACAGAAAAGGTATGAGAATCCTGACGGGATTCATCACATTGGTTCTATGTTATACATTGCTGGGACTAAAAGTCGTAAGATGTTTATGATGACTTAAAACTACCTTTATATAAGACGCAACAGACTCAGCGTTATAAAGATGTAGATAAGTTCATTCAAGACGGTGTTATTGAAATAGATGGTTAAAAAATACTGGAATTACTGATATTATAAGTCATAGTTTAGGTTCAGCATCGGGACAACAATCAAACAATGATCATGGTAATGTCTTCAGAAGTCGTAGTTATAGTTCTCCTTTTGCATCAGGACAACGACCAGAAGACACTGGGACAACTTTAAGAATACGAAAAGCAGGAGACCCCGTTAGTATGTTTGATAAAGGAAGTATAACATCAAATGAACCAACATTAGACCATCTACAAAATCATTCTTATGAAGATGTAGGCAATGCTTAAAAAAACAAAGCAGGAAATCTACCTATAACCGAAGAAGAGATGTTACAACAGGTTGATTCAATGATCTAAATTATATTAAGAATGCTTCATAAGAAAGCAACAACATACGAACAAACAGAGAAACCGAATAAAGAGAAGAAAGTCAAACAAAATGCTTACGAAGAGATAAGAAAGTTAGTTGAGAATAGTGAAGTAGAAGAAGCAGTTCAGGAAGTGAAAGGGAAGCAGAAGAACCATGGTAAAGAAAAATCATGTAGTTTTAAATTATTTGATTAAATATCAGTTTAAAGTACATGTAATAAAATTATCTCTGCTATCTATATGTATAGTGGAAACTTTTAGTCCCGAAGATACCCTCAATGATAATTTATGTTTTCAATTACTCAAAGGAAGTTCCTATATTAAATGTCAAGGGTTTAAGAATAAAACGATTATTGGATTTAAGCCATTGCGTGGCCTCTTCACACAATTTCAATACTTGTTGGCAAAATATATGGGAAACTGAACAATTGAATTAGAATTAGTCACTGATGCTACTGATTGTATTCATTATCGCAGTCAGAATTTCAAGAGATTTAGGGAAAACTCGAGCCGGCTCGAATTTTCCGAAAATTCTCGAGGCACCAGGTCGCCAAAACTCGAGCAGGCTCGAATTTTCAACAAAAATATCCTAAATTCTGTCATCTACGAGGCCTTGGGGTCACACAGCCATGGTTTCAGCATTTTATTGGGAAAATTCGAGCCTGCTCGTGTTTCGGCCACCTACTGTGTCAGTTTTTTTTTGAAAATTCGGGCTCGCATTTTCCTAAAATTCCCAAGTTTCAGGATCTACCAGGTTGCTGGAGTCATAGATCCTGAAATTTAGGTTTTCTTGGAAAATTCGAGCCTACTCGTGTTTCGGCGACCGACCTACTGTGTCAGTTCTTTTTTAAAATTCGAGCCGGCTCGAGTTTTCTAAAAAAAGCTGATATTTGGTGGTATTTTGATACCTTGTTGATTTACATGACCTTCCTGACTTGAAATGGTAAAGGTTTTTATCGGCCCTGTCGGCGGTTTCATCGCTAGCTCATAGCCCCCTCTCCTCCCAAGATCTATCTGTTTCCAAGAAGAAAAGCGGATCATGGGGGGGAGGTGAGCACATATATATATATATACACACACACACGTCTGGATATATATATATATATATCTGCAAACACAAATTGACACACACACACACACACCCACACCCACACCCACACCCACACCCACACCCACACCCACACCCACACCCACACCCACACCCACACCCACACCCACACGCACACCCACACCCACACCCACACCCACACCCACACCCACACCCACACCCACACCCACCCACGCACACATACGCACTACTCTCTTCTTCTACACTTCGTCACGCTGCTCTCCCTTCTCTTCGTTGCGCGTTGGGCAGCACGGCAAGACCCGCCCAGACCCGCCCCTCTCTCCCGTCTTCCAGAGCCTCAGGGGCCGAAGCGCCACCGCCGCGGCACGCAGCCGGGCGCGGCTCGCCGAGGCCTCTCGGCACACTGAGAGCGGGGCCCCACCAAACCACGGCGCCCTTCCGAGTCCAAGGCCGCGACCGGATTTAGCCAGAACTCGATGGGGAGCAACTTGTTCGGAAGCGACTGCCAGGGCACGACAAGGGAGTTCTGTAGTATGAGTCCATAAACGCGAAGTAGGCTGTGGGAACCGCCCCAGGCCTCAATGAACACCGGCTGGCCCCAATGCAGCCTCGGGGTTCAGGCTGAGAAGTTGCAGAGGGGTTTTGGAGGCAACACCAGGCAGCAAGCGAGATGCCCTCGCGGAGAAGAAGCTCCATAATTCGTCACCCTCTGACCCCTTACTGCCCAGTTGCTCAATACGGGAAGGCTCCCCGGAGTCTCTATACCCCCTTTTGAGAACGAGAAAAGCGGCTCTCCTGGGCCTCCCTGCTCTCCGCGTAGAGAAGCCAGGCCTTCGGCCTGCGCCTGGCCAGGTGCCGTTTGCTTTTTGAAGGGCTCCGAGTGCGGAAAGGTGCTGATACGGGCACCCTTACTCCAAAATGGAATCGGGGGAGTGTGACCTTCGTCCGGCACGCATCAGTGCTCAGCATGAGGTTGTCCGAGTAGCTTCTGCTCTCTTTTCAAAAACTGCGTTCGGACACGCGTTTCTGCATCACTCACCCTTGCCCCAGATTGTACCCTTCGACGTCGGCCGTTATCACTCCCTTCAAGTGTTCAGGCCTTGTTTCCCATAAGTGGGGAACAACCTACACCTCGCATATGACACCCCTTAGCCGAGCGTGGAACATTCCTTTGCACCATGGGGCTGTGCTTCTGCAACTCGGCTTTCAGATGCTTTGTTTCAACATTTTTGCTGATGCATAGTGTTGAGAAAGTGCAGTACTAAGTATCATCTTGTGTCGTGGGCTCTCGTGAACAAAAGCCCACGTGCAAACTTGTGCAAACCTACGTACCATGCAGGCTACGCGGCAGGCTCTTCACGAACGAAACCTGTGCAAACCTACGCGAACCGTGCTGCATTTCACAGCAAACCTACGTAAACCTAAGTGGGGAATGAGAACACGCAGAGCTTAGGCGTACCTACTCGGTCCAGGCAAGCTACATGAGCCAGGCCCGATGGTACACTCGGCATCAACTCGAAGCAGGGTCGTTTCGTGGCTCAAATCACGCTCGACACACTCGACTGCCAGGCATTGTCTGGGTACAGGTAGCCCTCCCTACATGCCATGACTTCGACCACCCTTTCCCAGCATTTCACCTCCTCCATCGCGGCAGCCAACGCCGTGGCCGCGGCCGGGCGGCGCAACACTGGGACGAAAGTGCCAGGAGTGTCGCCTTCGCGTTGGAGGGACACTGGGTCACACTGGGCAGTTCACGTGCTCTCCAAGCTAGAATTGGGAGACAAAGCCCTGAGTTCTACAAACGATTGCGCAGGGAGCTGGGCTAAAGCAGTGCATCGTAAGCCTGAGTCTTCCAGACCATGGCATCTGAAAAAGGCTCTGCAAAGGCCGCCTCCTATCCCTCAAGCCCTTGCATGACACCCTCTTTTTGCTCACGAAAGCAGATCGAAGCAGAGCCCTGCCCAAGGCCTGGTGCCAGCTCCGGCATGTCACCTGCCTCCAGGAGCACGGCGCCACCTCGGATCCGCGAGAAGCGACAATTTCGAGGCCTTCAGCTCTCGGGCTGGCACAAAGTCAAAACTCAGACAAAAACCGCCCTAACATTACTGGAAGATCCTCGAAAACAAGGTGGGGGGGGGAGGGGCCGCGTGGCGCTCCTGTCCGAGCCGCATAAGGCACCAGCATCATCGCCTCCAACCATCCGAAGCACCACTGCCAGGGAGGGGCAGCCGTGGCTCCTGCAAAGTCTCCCAGTCACCTCTTGTTTCAGCATGCTGGGGCGGGTGATCCTGAGCTTCTGCGCGGCTTGGAGCCACTTGCCGTCACTAGAAACTCGCTTTGGGCGTCGAGAAAGGATGGGAGATCAGCAAGGTCCTCCCAAGCCGGAGCACTGCGATCCAGGGATTCACCGCGGTTGGCACGCTCCGGCTGAGGGTGCCTGGCTCAGGCGATCACTAGCCCTATAGCGGATGCCCAACGTTCAGCAGCTTTTCATCAACTGGCCCTGCCGGACAAATCTTGCTTTCTAGTGGCAATTGGTCATCACGTCGTAGAAGCGCAGTGGTCCTGCAAGAGCCATCTGGAAGCCAAAGCATCCACCCCAGGATCCCCGGAGCCTCAGGGAGAGAACCTTGGACCCTGAACCTACTTCTGGCCTCGCTCAGGGGCGAAGCTGCACAAAGGCCCTCTCCTGAACAGATGTCGCCATAGCGCGGCCATCCCAGCACGGCAGTGCTGCCGGCCAGGCGAACATGTCCCGAGTCCAGGTCGACCTCTCCATGCGGGGCACTCTTTGAGGCACTCCAAGCGACTGCAGCACCGCACCATCACATGGGGGTTCGGAAATTAGGGGTACCTTATTGGGGTCCTTAGTATAAAGCAATCCTACTATGTGGGCGTTGATATTAAGGGTCCCCCCTATTTTCGAAAACTCCACATGAACCACATGAACCCATCGCCCTCACAGTTCTCAACTCCCATCCGAGGCTCTGAGCCTGTGCCCCCTGGGTTGCAAAGCGTTCTGCCAGCGAAGGTGAGGCGAAGATGGTCAGCTGGCCTGGAGAGGGAGGCAGGGGAGCGCCTCACTTGCAAATCTTGCGCGTCAACAACTAAAGAAAGAGGTGTAGAGGGAGAGAGAGAGAGAGAGAGAGAAAGAGAGAAAGAGAGAAAGAGAGAAAGAGTGAAAGAGAGAAAGAGAGAAAGAGAGAAAGAGAGAAACAGAGAAAAAGAGAAAGAGAGAAAAAGAGAAAGAGCGAAAGAGAGAAAGAGCGAAAGAGAAAAAGAGAGAAAAAGAAAGAAACATAAAGAAAGAGAGAGAAAGAGAGAGAGAGAGAGAAAGGGAGAGAGAGAGAAAGAGAGAAAAAGAGAGAAAGAGAGAAAGAGACAGAGAGAGAGAGAAAGAGAGAGAAAGAGGGACAGAGAGAGACTGACAGAGAGCGAGGGAGAAGAGAGAGAGAGAGAGCGAAAAAAAGGGGGGGGGGCGATGCAGACAGTGAGGAAGACGCCTTCGCAAGGGCTCACCAGCGACAGGAAGAGGCAGAGCACCAGCTTCTTCCCGCTGCGGCACATTGCGAAAAGGACATGCCACAATTTAATCCTCTGGCGCTACTGAACGAGCAGATGCGAACTTTAGCCTAAGTTCCTAGAGTGAAGCTTTCCAACCTCAATCGTCCGGCTCTAGCTGGGCTTCTCAGAACTCGGCTTCGATCCCAAGAGGCGCCCATGCAAGAGGAGCAAACGGCTCAAACAAGCGACAGAAACTCCAAAACGTTTGCGATTCCGCCTTCAGGAATCCATGCTTCGGCGCCCACTTTTCCCAACGTGGCTGCACGAAACGTTGGTCTGTCCCCGCGGCAGGCTGGCGTCGGACAGAATGAGGCTGGACCGTTGAAGCACAACGGCCTCCTAATTGCCCTTGCAAGTGTAGGTGCCTGTATGCCATAATCTTCGAAGGGTTCCTACTTGAACCCGAGCAGTGATTATCGTAGACGTGCTAATCATAGCAGAGGTCTCGCGAGTAGCAGGTATGCGAATCATAATAACAATCATAATCATGATCATAATCATGATCATAATCATAATCACAATCATAACAATAAGAACTATGAAAACAAGAAGAAGAATAAGAAGAATTGCAACAGCACCCATGATCGCAATAACAAGAGCATTGGTCATAGTAGTAACAACAGTGGTAGTAGTGGTGGCAATAGTAGCACTGGTACGAGTAGTGGTAGTAGTGGTAGCAGTCGTCGTAGCCGTCGTAACAATAATGGATGCAGTTCAAATTTTGAGAGTAGTAATAGTAACATTACTAGAAATGCCATGGTAATGCTGGGAATATACTGTAGAGTTCACAGGTCACTTCTAAAGTGACCGTGCTGACAAAATCTGCCGCCACCAGCTTGTCCGCTGTCTCAGGCAGCGCAGATTGGTGCTCTGCTCTTACAAGTCCTGGCAGACTGAGGTTTGGGAGGATGTAAAGTGCCTTTGGGTGATCGTCTGCTGCAAGAAAGCGACAGCGCGTACTGGCCGTCAGGGCACAACAGTTATTCCGGTACACCGATAATGTTGACAGCCGTGCTGGGCATGTGAAGGGCCACTTTCAGACTCACGACAGCAGACAAAAGATGAAGCGGAGAGTGCTCCGGCCTCATCGTCGTCATTGATGGCAACGTTCTGTGCGTCCTGGAGCTCCTTGCAGTGGAGGGCCATGGGCACCCGACGTGGCGAGCCAAGCGCCAGCACTTCTACCACCACTGCTGATCACCACCTCAACCACCTGCAAGGCGCCTAGTGCCAGGAATCCATTTCATTCTCTATCCCCTTTCACATGCCCTACTGATGCGAGCGCACAAAAGGCCAAGAAACACCCGAAGCCGACACGCCTTCTCGTGCTGTGCGATGAGTGCGCTGTCGATCTGGATCTCTGGAGCCTGTAGCGAAACTGCAGACATGGCAGCGAGAAAATCTCAAGTGTTCGCGGTCTCGCCGCCGGTGGGACGATAGGGGCTTAGGAGAGATTCTGAAGCAGAGTTCAAGTTCACAGCAGACTTCTTCAAGAGCTCAAGAAAGGCTCCGCCAGCCTTGGCAAATTGCTCAACGAATTGGAGGTTGCCCTGGTTCGTCAATCGTCGGGCCAGCCTTGGTTAGGTGCTCGGTCGGGGTTAGGGGGTATATAGGGCTTCCGGTGCAGTGCGCGACACAAACCCCAAGACTAAGTGCATGGGCCACAGGAACGGCTTCTCGAAGTTGTAGTTGCTCCTGTGGCTCGCCGTGCGCGCTTGGAGACGAGTATGATGTGTGAGAGTCGTTCGAAGTTAGGGGCCTCCTTCTTCATGCCGAACAGGAACCCTAACAATGGACCCCCGAAGTTAGAGCAACCTCCGCGCGGCTCAGGCAGAACGGCCTGGCACTGAGGTCGTAGTACTGGAGGTTCCTCTTTCGGTGGAACTGGATGTTCTTCGCCTTTGCTTGATGGCTTCTGGCTCTATTTCTACTCTTTGCCTTCAGCACCCTCTTGGGTTCTCGGAATGCATCAAGCTGATTCACTACTTTGGGACTACGTGAATACTATACAAACCATCGGACTGCAGGGTCGTGCCTTGACCTGGCGGTCCTTCACATCGACCTGAACGCTCCATACGCTCCCCCACAGAACTCCCCATCAAGCTACGAAGCCGATTTCGTGGCTTGGGCTTAGCTTGGAGCTTCGCGGGCATGCTTAGATCTACAGATCACGGGTGACGGATCGCCAAAGAGCCCGGCAACCCATTCACGCCCGGCCTTGTTCCCCACGAGCACAATGGGGATGTTCTCGCAGACCCGCACGATGTCGCGGTGCCAGTTCGGCACGTTCTGCGACAATACGGCGACTCTACCAATGGCCACCACAGGAGTCACGGAACTTAAATCAAGCAATGCCTTTGGAAGCTTCTTGTGCACACATCCAGTTAAACATACCATAGGCGGCATGAGAAGACGTGGAAAGTTTGAACCAGCTCTGTGCCGGTCCGAAACCATCCCCACCAAATAGAAACAACCCGGCACTGTCCAGGGAACGCCTCGAATCTCCACTCCGCGACAGAAATCCCGCCAGATTCCCTCAAGGCGCCTTTTTTGTCTTTTGACGTCTGAGTCTTTGTACAAGCTCCACTCTTCAGGTTTACAGCTTCGGATTTCAGGGCATCCTTTCAAGGGATAACCTTACACCTACAGAGCCTAGTACACGTCATGCAACCCCCCATATCCCTCTACAACTTCCATCCAAAGCCAGCCCTGCTGAGCGTGAGCCCCATGGTGCCGTGCTGGCCGGTCGCCACTTCTTTTTCTTGGCGCAGCTCCCGAAGAAGGACATGGCTTCTGAAGGGCATCAGGTACCCTGTATAATCCCTGAAGGGGTACAAAAATGGGCCCGAATTCCCTCGTTCCCTACTAAGAACATCTAAGAACCAGGGGGCCTAAGGACCCAAAGAGCCCTGTGTTCGAAGAATGCGAGGCTCTCCTCCCGGTCCGTGCCGTCGCCCCCCCAGGCCACACATCCCTGAATTTCGGGAACCTCACCACAAATGCGAGGAATTCTTGCATGTCAAAAGTGAGACGCTTCAGACTTTGCATCCCATGCGGGACGAAAGCCCGAAAACGACTTTGCGCCGTCTTTTTTCGCCCCTTCATGAAGCATTCAAGGCCTACTGTTTCATGTTCAACCAGGAGGTCATGCCGGGTACAGGGAGATTTGCCTCTGAGCGTCTGGAGCACAACGCACCACGACAAGAGGGGGCATTGCGCCAGAAGGCGCAGTCAAGCTAGCTACTGCGAGACCGCAACTCTGCAGGTTGCAAGTTGCGAACATTTGGGGGTCCCTCAGCGAAGGCCCCGCGAAGCAGCCACCGGAGCGTCTTCCGAGGCTCCAGCGCAGCTCCAGGATGCCGGTCTGCCCTTCGCCAAACCCGCATGGAAAGAGGAAGAAATCTCTGCAACATGGGGCGAACACCAAACAAGCACTCTCTCTCATCGCTTTGGCCCCCAGTCCTGCTGAGACCGTCAGCGGCCCAGGCCCGATGTGAAGCCGGTGGTGAACCCTTCCCTGGCAGCGACACCAGACTCACAGATGCAACGGTTCGAGGTGCCAAGTACTTAACACCGTGCTGGCCCGTGTTAACTCTGTCCGTGCTTTCAGTCTCCGTGCGCTTCCGCCGACTTTACGCACCTTACGCTGAACGCACTGAAGACGACGGAAGTGAATGTGACCGAACACACTGATCATACTACCGCATCACTTGGGCGCAACGACTTGTACCCTGAAATATGTGTGGGGTTTAGATGTATCTGCTATTCCTACAAAGCGATCCCCATCCACAGCAGCGCCTTACTTTGTTGAAGAAGTTGTTCGCCTTGGTCTCCGCCTTGAGGACCTCTGTGTTGGCCTTCACCTTGGGTAAGACTCATCTCTGCTACGCCGCTACATTGAAGCTCCCCTGCACTCGTCCTACGGTTGTGCAGGCGATCGGGTGGTGTACAGTGTGCAGTGTACCGTGACGAAGTTAACCTGGTGTGGGCCGCGGCAGGTAGGTAGGCCGAGGGTTGGCATCGCCAGGCATGCCACAACTCTGCTTACTTCGGCTTCCGCCAAGCTGCTCCCATGTTGGTGAAGGCCGTGTTGGCCTTCGATCCCAGGAAAAGTCTTCAGCAAAAAGAACCCTTGTACTGGTAGCACCTTTCAACTCACTTGTGCTTCCCTCATAACCACACGCTCTTCTGAGCGGGCACCTGAAGACCCATGCCGACCATTTCGGTGCCCAGCTTGGCCGCCTCCAAACCCATCTTTGCCTCCCCGGAGAAGGGATATATATATATATATAGATATATATATATATATATGATTGGGGCTTGAGATGGCTCTTGAGATGGCTTGAGGGTTGTTGCAGGGGTTGGTGGGGGAAGGAGCTTCCGAACCGAAGGGCGCCCCGAGGCAGGGAGAGTGCGCCCCCCCGCGCCTGGGTCGAGATAGCAGAGTTCCGCAGCGCGTTCTCCACCTGAGAAGGGGGCACGAAGCGAGAAACTGGAGGTGGTACGGGCTGCTCACGCGTCGGATAAGAATGAGCCCCGGTCCTGAAGGGTGAACAACGTCACACTTGTTTTCCCAGGTGCACTTGGATGCATGTGATAGGGCTGCCAAAAATGTTGAGCCTCTTTGGCATCGCGTCTTTCAAACGAACGCGACACGTGGCTACGTCGATGACTTTTGCTCGCGAGGGTGCATGCCTGGCATCCTCTCAGCGTCTCATTTCTTGCCGAAGAGTATCGAGTACGGGAGCGCCACGAGAAACATCCCGGCAAACATATTGCCCAGCGACACAGGCAGCAGGTTGTGGAGAAGGAAGCTTGTCCAAGATACGTCAGCGCCGGCAAAGATCCCCGCAGGGATGATGAACATGTTGGCGACCGAGTGCTCCAGCCCCAAGGTGACAAAAGCAGAGATGGGAAACCAAATCGCTATGGCCTTGCCAGCGGTGTCCTTCGCCATCGACGCGATGTACACTGCCATGCACACCAGCCAGTTGCAGAGGATGCCGCGCACGAAGGCCGTCTGAAAGGGTAGGGACGTCTTGGCAACTGCAAGGGCCACCGCGGCCCCGCCGCCGGGCATCGTGCCGGCCAGAATGGCCAGCCTGGCGAGGCTGACAGCGCCCACCAGGTTGCCCAGCCAGGAGAGCACCAGGGACCTGCCTAACTGAGGTGTCTCGGCCTCGCCGCGGAGCACGGCCATGGTTACGATCGCAGCATTCCCCGTGAAGAGCTCCGTGCCCGTGAGAAGCGTCATGAAAAGCCCAAAGGGCAAGCCGAAGGCACCGAAGACCAGCTTCTGCAGCCCAGGATTCGAGGCCACCAGACCAGGGCAAGCACCTCAGGAGCTTTTTTGTTTCATGGAAAGTTACTCTCGGGGGAATCACCACGAGTCACGGGCTGCTGACGGTTGCTGGATGTTGTTGATGGTTTGCTGTCCCACCCCTCCCCCCCCCCTGTCTCCCCCCCACCCGCAGCCTCCGACGGTGCATGCCAGGTAGGCGCCATAGCCGATGAAAGATCCGGCCAGACAGCCCGAAAAGAAAACCTTCTCAGCCGGCATGTTGGCCTTGGCGCGGCCAGCAAGGACGGCGCCCTCAAAGCCATCCGGGGGCGATGCCAGCAGCGGCGGCGGCATCTGCGTCATTTGGCCCCCGATGCCCGCCTAAGAGGAAGCCCTCGTCCTCAACATCCCTCCATGAGCCGATGCAGCTGCAAATCCCTGAAGGGCTCGGGAGAAACAAGCAAAAGCACAATGCAAAGCACAAAGCAAAAAAGGACAAAAGCTCAAAGCACAATGCGCAAAGCTCAAAACACAAAGCTCAAAGCAAAAAGCACAAAGCGCAAAGCGCAATGTACAAAGCGCAAAGCGCAAAGTACAAAGTGCAAAGCACAAAGCACAAGGCAATGCAAGCTCGAAAACGGCCTCGACAACCCTTCAAGGTTACAAGCTGGCACGTGGGCTTTCTCAGTGTCTCAGTGACTTCTCTGTTCTCGCCTCGAGTGCCTTCGTGTTCAGGGCCACGGCGGCATTCGACGCCTGCAACACGCGAAACTCCCGCATCATACCAGAAGAAGGTAGGATATTGTACCATACGACTAAATACTACTTCTTGTAGCTTATGTCTTGTAATCCTGCATCTTATATGGCAAGTCTACCGCGGTCCATGCATGACGCTGACGCCGAAGTCGAAGCTGTGGGCCTTGAGGGGGAGGCTGGCAAATTCCCCCGACAGCCAACCGGTCATCTCTCCTCACCCGAAACTGCACGCCGCTCTTCGCTTTTTCGGGGACGTCGGGGGAGAGAAACAGGAGAAGAGGAGAAGAGGAGGAGAGAGATGCTCAAGAGCTGCGCGGCGCGGGCGAGTGGAGATGTCTCGCTGCGAAACGGAGCGAGTCTTGCGAGCGCCGGAGTTAAAGTGAGGTCGAGAAGCTGTAGACGAACGGGTCCAGAAGCACACATGTTGAATCCCATTTGTGCCGAACAAAAACAACTGCAGCCGCTGCTGTCTTCACGGAAGCCCGTCCTACAGTCTGCAATCCGCCGCCGTCACCCAGGTCGAAGTGGAGGGAGCCTCACGTGCTTGGAGGACGGAGGATGGAGGATGGGGGTACAAACTGAGGTGTGGCAGGGGATGGCCTCGGAATGCTCTCTCGAGATACTTTATACTCTATCAATGACGCAGAACTGTTCCGAGGTGCTCGACGAATCTCTACGCTACTCGGACATGCGACAGCCCAGTGCAGAGCACGGGCAGCAGCGGTATCAATCAAGGCTCCGAAGTCCAGATTGCCGAGCTGGTTCGTAATGCCAGAGCCAACGGCACCTCAGAAAGGTCAAAAACAGCTATGAGAGATGCCTTTACCTCGCGCTCACCTAAACGAAACAGGTCGTCGAGACTCGCTTCCGCCACCATGTCTTACATTCATTCTGGAATCACGAAATGCTGGCGACATGCCGGGAATTGCCTTTCCGCGAGTTCCCGGGTTCTGGGGTTGAGGTTTTGCCCTGCTCGTTAGGCCTCTCACTCATTTGACTCCTTCGGAAGAGGCTCCCTCAGCCAAGGGGAGAAGAAGCTCTGGATGCCTTGGTCCAAGGCACGGAGGAGATTTTCCTTGAGGTTGTCCGGGGCAGACTTGAGAATCGCCACCAAGACGGTCCGAACCACCACCTCCAGCATTTAAATCTCTTCTTCACACGACTCCGTGGGCCGCTTGCTTGTCTTAACGACCGTTTGCGAGTGTCTGGGCCGGGCCAAGGAGACAGAATGCTCTGAGCCTTCGCGCTTGCA